TGTACTTTGGACACAAGACAATCTGTAGCTCAACTCAAATGTTTTTATTTCTAAAGGATACTAAGTCATAACAAAACTGAGATAATGCAGGTAAGATTCTGTGTGTGTGTGTGTGTGTGTGTGTGTGTGTGTGTGTGTGTGTGTGTGTGTGTGTGTGTGTGTGTGTGTGTGTGTGTGTGTGTGTGTGTGTGTGTGTGTGTGTGTGTGTGTGTGAAAATGTCCTAAAAGTCTTTCAAACGGAGTCTTCTGCGTGACTGAAGCCGTCCAGCTGTTCTCTAATTGGCCTCTTTCAGCCAGACCGTAAAAGTTTTGATTTCCCTTCTTTGTTCACTTTTTGTTCTCCTTGTATCCTTCAGGATTACGCGCCAGGACGGTCAGTTGATCCTTGGGTCTCGTTCTGCTCCTTTACACGCCAGGATGTGAGCAGCACCAAACTTCAGAACCCTGACTGAGTTATTTCTCTTTTGGGACTGAGAGGATGTGCTCTCTTGAAGATGCTGAAAATGGAATGCAGCTCATTTTTCTACAGGAGGCCAAGGAAGTGATCAGTTTGATGGGTTTCCTTGTCAAATCTCAGTAATTTGTGGCTGTTGGCCTGGTTCACCTCAACAAAAATGCTTGCAGCCTTTAATTCAGAGTGACATTTGTTATCAGAAACCCTCCAAAAGGGCTCTATGACATATTTTGAACTACAGGATGGATTTGAATGAAACTCTCAGAAAATAATGATTGGATGTACATCTATAACTGATTTAACCTTTGACATCAACCAGATTCAAGATGATGATACAAATGATAGACTCAAAACTGTAAATATTCCAGGTTTTCTCCATTTTTAAGCTGAAAGTTGTCAAACATGTTATGATTTTCAAGATTAAACCAAAACGGTCATCATCCCTCAACACCACATGATCTTGATTTAAAACAGGCAGAAATGTTGTTTTATTTTTGTGCATTTTTCAAGGAATTACTGGATTTTGTTTCACAAAGTCTGTTTTATTTTGTTATAAATCTGATTGTTTTACTGTGACACAAATTTCCATCTTGATCGCGCTCCAAAAGCAGAAGGCAATAAACAAAAAGTGTATTTGGAATTTTAAAAGGAAAAAGACATTGCATTCATATTACAAATGAAACATAGAGAATGACTTTTTCCCTCAGAGAAACAACGTACCAGTTTCTTCTGAGACCCACGTTGTCACACAGGTACACTTCCTCCATCACAGCTCATGCACGCCTCCACATTGTTTTAACCGTTTCTCATGAGGCATCTCTGAAGAGTCTCTCTGAAATGTGCAACAAAGCAACTATCTTTTGCTGTTGAACTCGTCTCTTTTAGGATGACACATGACTACTCACTGATGTCCTAGTTATCAAACCAAACCTGAATGTTTTATTGTGCAGGCTCTAATAGTTTTGACCACATGCAGTGACAAATTTTCAAGGCTGTAATTTACTCTCCTGGACCTGCTTTCAGAGAGGACCTGCACCTCACACACACATGCACACACACACACTAATGGAATGATGTCAGATTGTGGTCGTTTTGAAAGCAGAGCACCAGCCAGCCAAAGAAGACACGTTGATGCGAGCCTTTGAGTCCAAACCAAAGCCTTTTCGCTTCTCTTTTTTTCTTTTTCACCATGACTTCATGCTCCTGCACCATCATCCACTCATTTACACCTCCTCTGTCTGGGCTTGAAGTGCATGACTTGTATGAAGAAGATACCATGCCAGCTTTTAATAAGACTTTAGTACATTTTTCTTTGTATTTAGTTTCTATAAAACATTTACTGCCATTTTCTACATATAAATAGAATTTATTTGAAGTGGGAAAGAAAATTGACAATATTACAATTTTTAGAATATGTTTTTTTAGAATAAGTTGTATCGAACCTTTTCGAACAGTGATTAAAAGGGTACATTTGATTAAAGGTTGGTCAGGTTAAAAGGATATACAGCTAAGTGAATCATGAGTCTGTTATCATGGGGGTGGCAGTTTTATATTCTATAATTAAATTAATTAGGGTAGATCACAAATAATACATTTCCTTTCGTCAGTGCAATGAGATCTCTTTAACAGTGGTGCTCCCAAGAAGTGGCCGGGGGCATAGCCCCATCTGGAATTTTGATGACCACCCCACAGGCCCATCCAGGGAAGACCACCCCCTTTAAAGGCATACTATGCAACTTTCATATTTTAAATTATTTTCTTGAGCCAGTATGTGCTAAAATGACCCTTTACAGGATTAATAAAATGTCCCTCAAACCCCACCGTCCCCTGTTGCCAGAATATTGCACGTGGAGCAGAACCGCTGCCTGCTGGTGGGAAGAGTGAGGGTGGGGGGAGGGCTGGGAAGTGTAGTTGACATTGAGGAGCTGGAGTCTGCTTCCAGCAAGTTTCCTGCATGTTATAGATGATGAACACAGCTGATTTGTTTGATTGAACCACTCCTCTAGAAACTAATGAAAGCTGTGGAGACATTTCAGCAGTTAGTATAGTAGTTGTTAGTAAAGTGTTAAAAAGACAAACACACAGTGTGGAGCATGGACGTAGTTTTTTTTTTATTATTTTGGTGACACGTTTGCAGTGACAAATTTGTGTCCCCTGCACTTTTTACGGTCCAAAAACAATATTACGCTACATCAATTAGACACTGGTTGAGCACTAGGACCAAGTGAAAAATAACCGCTTGAGTTGAAGCCGGTTTCCCATTACATATTACGCATTTTTTGTATACTTAATGTAAAGACCCCCCTCCCCCTCCACATGCTGGTTGTGTCCTCCCATTTCTAAAGTCAAAACTGCGTCCATAGTGAGGAGATAAGTTTTATTTTTGCTTTGACCACAGATAATTAATAACAGACACTAGGGGGTGCTAAAAACGAGCAAAACTGCCTAGTATCCCTTTAATAAATCACATGAGAGCCTGAGTCTCCCCCCTTCCGATTAGCTCATGGGTCCCCGGAACAAATATAAATTTATGGAAGAGAACAAGGCTATAAAAGCTATTTTCTAATGTACTTTGCCTTACGCCCTGAATCACACATGTTGTACTTCAATATAAATGAAAGGAATGATGTGTGTTTCAACTATGTCTCATAATTTAAGATTTCTTAGCTTATAGAAATTCATAATTAAAATGACTACAAATCAGACTTCGCAAAATTGACGTCACCGCAGAATCTCTTCTTCCACCGTGTAGCTGCTACTTACCACATAGCCAAACGTATCATGGTTTTCTCCACATTTAATGCTCCTTCTTTTGTCCTGGAATAAGATTCGAAGCACGCTAAACTAATCTTCTCTTCTTCATGTCTGGTTTGATTACATCAATTTGGTGAAACAAACACTTTCAGTCTGTTACGTCTTTTCACACAAAACCTAAAATGATTTTTGCAGTTGTTTGATAATAAGTGCTTTCTTGGCATCCAAACATCTCTTTAAAGTTGTGGGACACTCATTTAATCAATACATTTGCAGTGGTCTCTGGTAGGAATGAATGTCTTGCAAGTCATACTTGGGGAAAGAAAAGCTCAGATACACTTGTTTCAGGAAATAGAGCAATGCCACATCAGAAGAGCTTAACATGGCAGGATTGCGAGTCTTATTTCCTGATATATGGTTATGTCACCTCTGACATAGCAACACAACTCTACCACTGACTCTGTTTACTCTGCAAAGTTGATGTTGATGATCTCTACAAATAGCACAAGCCTGAAAGAGTTGTACTGTGTGGTGGAGCTGCTAATGCTAGCAGTTATCTTCTATTGTGAGACGCTTAACAACAGCCTTTCCTGTCGCGAGTCAAGATGGGTCCATGAATGTTAAGTGACACTGTGACATATCGAAATGGATGTCTGGGCGGTCCTGGATGTGCTACTGCTAGTTTACCCGTTTAACAAGAGATTCACTAGGATAAATACAATAAAGTTTATCTCTCGCCAAATAGAATATTTACTAAGAAATCACAATGTAACCATAGACATGTACGTGTGTGTGTGTGTGTGTGTGTGTGTGTGTGTGTGTGTGTGTGTGTGTGTGTGTGTGTGTGTGTGTGTGTGTGTGTGTGTGTGTGTGTGTGTGTGCTGTGTCTTCTCGATCCCCAGTGAGTCGTGGTGGATGGCTGCTTATACTGAGCCAGGATCCTCCAGAGGTTTCTTCCAGTTAAAAGGGAGTTTTCCTCTCCACTGTCTCTATATGCTTGCTTAGTATGACGTCTTGATGCAATTTGGTGGGTTCCTTATATAGGAAACATTTTTTCTGCTTGGCTTAATGAACTGACCTGAATTGGAATGTTTATTATGTGAAGTGCCTTGAGATGACTCTTGTCGTGATTTGGCGCTATATAAATAAAATTGAATTGAACTTAATGGAATAAACCTGTTCACATGTATTTATAGCAACCACTCTGAAATCTGATGAAAACATATTGCTATGGTTGGCCTCTTAAATTACTCTGGAGAAGCTTTCAGTTTTTTTTTTCTTACTCTTATTTCATTATCACTTTCTTTTAAAAAAAATCTCACTTCTAAAGATTCTCTAAATCCAATGTGAGATTTATTTAATCGAATGTATAATTAGATTTTTTATTTGGTTTTATCTTTCACATTGAGCGCAGGATTATTTATTCACCTGAAAATCAAAAAGTTCATAATTTAATGATGGTGTGTATTTATTATTATGTTTGTCTCAAACATTTAAAAAATTTTCAAAATGTGAGAAACAAAATTTCCGTAATTTCCTGAACCTAACATCCCTAGATGTCACGTGGTATATTTTGTTTTTATTTATGCCCTCAGAAATGACCTACAGGCTATTTGAATCCTAACCAATGCAATTAAAATAGCCATAAAAACAATCATTGAACTTTTAAAACTGTTAGAGTGTGAAGTAAAGAGCTGTTCTTGGTATTTATGAGTGTCGATAGTCAAATTACGATTACACATTCGAATTTTAAAGCAGCCTGCAAGACTAAACTTCGGGTGAAAAACGATTCTTTGGCTCAGCTAGCGTTGAAAGCAAGCTAGCTACGTGCATGTCGTTGTTGTTGTATGTAAACCTGTCTTCCGGAAAATCTGCTTTAAGTATGATTAATTTGCTTATCTACACTACCTGTTTGTGTACAAGCTTGAAATGACCGGAGGTCCATTTGACTGCCCGGGTTAGCCTGCTTGGTGTCCAGCAGAGGGGCGTAATAGAAAAAGAGGCTCGCTGCCGCCCTCGTAGTCTTGACAACAGCTTCCTCCTTGCTAGCTTGAGTTCCTCCCTTGTCTATGGGGCATTTTAGCGGTTAACTAGCTGAAATACTATAAGGTGGCGGATACACGTCAATTTGTAATCAGCGGAGCGAACCAAGACACGGAAATCTAGCTGTTCATGTTTCGCCAAGAAGTCAGTGTGACGTCTTTCATTCCGTCTTGTTCGTATCTTTTCCAACAAGAGAAAAGGAATATGTCCCGATATAACATATACAGCCTGCTGGACTGGATTTACGGCGGTGTGGACCCCAAGTTCGAGGGCAACGGGGGCCCCGAGTGTGCAGCCTTTATCGCTCCCCAGCAACGAGTTATTGAGACTCTCATCATCCTCCTCGTGTTTGTGATGGAGATCGGCGCTACGCTGAAGAAAATCAACATCTCCAAAGAGTTCCGAGTGGTCGGAAGAGACTGTACAAAGACCAAGGAGGACAGTCTGAGCAAAAACCTGCTGCTGGTTTCCCTCTGCATGACTTTTGGGGTAGAGGTTGGGTTCAAGTTCGCAACAAAGACTGTGATTTATCTGCTGAATCCCTGTCATGTGGTGACCATGATTCAGGTAAGGAGGACACTGATGGATGATGGCACTCCCACAGAGCAGACAGGCTGGTGGGCCTAAAAGTCAGGTTTCTGTGACCCCATCTGTCATCACTTATGGGAATATACCCATAACCATCAGTATTTAACAGTCAGAGTCATCTAATTGTTTAATCTTGAACATTGGCCATTGATAGGAACAGCTTTTTGTCCTTTTTGACTCTCAAATTCTTCAGCTGATGTGCTATTAAAATAACTTTCATGATTTTTAACCCCACAGTTCAGCTTTCAATCTTTGTCATGGGTCTGGAGTTTAATCAGAGCTCCTGTAAGGGAAGCTTGAGTTTGTAAAGGCCTTCAGGTGCTCCAACAGGAGCGTATGGTTTGAACCCATGTGATCAGTTATGACTTGAAGGGGCAATTTATTTTTATCAAACACTGAGAAAGCGTCCAATATGAAGAAACATTTTTATAGTTTAGTTTTGTGTCTTCTAAGATGTTTTAATCTTCAGCTATCCTGACCTTCATAGACCCGAATTACCTCCTGGAAGTCATGGTTATGGCCACAGCCATCTAAAGCATTATGCATGTATTATGCAATCTTATGGTGGCATAATAACCTCAGAATAACCACATGATGATTTACAGCATCTGGGCTATCGAATTAAGTTGTAGTTTGCAAATCGTGATGAGAAAAGCTAAGATGAGCTGGTGTCCCTAAGAGACAAAAGTCTCATTTGACCCAAAAGTAAAGAGAAAAATCTTAAACTGAAGTTTCACATATGAAACTAGTAAACTGTCGTGTTCCTTATTTTCATGCAGGCTAGTTTCAGGTAAAAACTGACCGATGTGGGTTTTCTACCAATGCCAACGTGTAGAGCAACTGGTCAGCCGATGGCCGATATGTGCTGCTGGTTTTTTGGGACCGATTTTCACGGTTTTCTGCTTTGTCTGCCTGCTAAAATGTCACCAATAACAACCGTGGATGCACAACATCTCTGACCCTGAATCAGTATTTGAACCCTGAATTTAATTTTGTGCACTGCACAGTATAAAACAAAAACATTGAACATAAGTTATTTCAACAATTCAGTAAACTGGCCAAGTATTAAATACACACAATGAGATAAAAAAAGAATAATAAATATGCATAATAATGTAAAATGTATTTTAAATAAAATTCTGCCTGCAGACGTGCCTGACGTTAAATCAGCTTAACCAATAAATCCATCAACTATATATCGGTCTAGCCGTAGCTTCAGGTGTTCATTAGGGCTGCCACAAACGACTATTTTAATAGTAGACTGATCACCAGTTTTGTTGACGATCAGTCATTTAATCGTGTCATTCATAAAAGTGTAGCTTATTTCACCAGGTTGCTCTAATATACCAATCATTAGCTTCTAGTGTGATCAGTTGCTTGTCATCTAATAATAAAGACAAGATGACAGCTTATCTAACAACTTTTAGTTAACTTTGTAACCTGTTCATACAAATGCTACAGACAAACAGAGGTACACACTTAAAACCTAAAGTAAATTATACATAAAAGTTACTTGTGTGTGCAAATGTATCCAACTAAATAGTCATTTTTGGCTTTGTAACAAACCCGTCTGTTGAAGAAGAGGAACACTTTTTTAAATACTGTAACGTATCGGGATGAAATAAATCATAAACGTTTGTAACATTAGAATGTGACAGACGTGCGTGTAATAAAATCGCCATCACTACTGTTGTTGCTACACCTATGAATACAAGTAGCTCTGTTGATGTTAGAAGCTAACAAGAGGCGACTCTTCATTCTCAGTCATGACATGCTTTCTTTTGAGGTGCTTGTGCATCGCTGATGTGCTCTCGTAAATGGAGAGTTTCACTTTGCAGGGTTTGCGCATGCAGGTTTGCGCTGTGCATGCTTTTTTTTTGTCTTTGTAAAATTCTCCCAAATTTTTGAGCTATGTTGCCGACTCGCCATGATGACTTATTTCTCCAGTGATTCTGAGTCAAAGGCTGACCTGGGTGACCACTACTGCACATGTGCCTCGAACTGAAAGCAACTGCTGAAGGTGCCGCAGCAGGCGAGATTTAAAAAAAAAAAACGCTCATAGAATAAATGACATAAACTATTAAATTTATAGATGACTATTTTGTTATTTTGTTGTTGACGAATTGTCTAATTGTGGCAGCACTGATGTTCATTTTTTTGAAGGTCTGGGAGGAGTTTGCTGGAGCCTGAATGTAGCTTAATGGAAAAATAAGAAGTTTGTGATTCCTGCAGAGAACTAGAATTAGATTTAATTTGTAATAAACCTTTTTTTCCAGACGGGCAGAGCTGCTAATTTTCTGTCTGATGCTAAATACATCAGTGTGTTTGCTCCGTGTTCCTGCATGCCTCACCACGGACTGCATCACATCTAGATGCTGACTCACTGTGTGATCCACATAGCTTCTGATGTTACGTGTACAGTTCTTAAGGTGTGGCTGGACGACTGTAACTTCCTTATAGAGCCGGTTACTACACCAAACACATCCGTAGTAACAGTTGGGTCAAACATTTCATGGCTTAGTGCATCTTGGAGTGAGTTTTATGAGACACTTGATCCTCGGAGAACTGTAGTTTCCTGTAAAGATTCCCAGAATGCCTGGAGGAGATGGGCAGGGCTTTGTGCAAGAAGCTTAGTATGGACTGTAACAGCTGAGGATGTTGACTCTTATTCTTTGAAAGAGTAAGGAACTGTGCAATTACCAAACACATAGTTATTATTTTTACCCCCTACTTAAGAGGAACAGGGCAGGCAATAATGTTTTTTTGGCTTTGTGTGTTTGCATAGTATCGCTTAAACCACCGGGTGATTTCAAATGAACATCCAGAAATTGCAGTTTGGCTGTAAAAGACCTTGAAATCATTCACTTCAAGCTTCTAGTGCGGCTCTGTCTACTATCAGGAACAGCAGGTCGGAAAAGCCTCGATCAGCATGAAGTGGGAGAGTCCCGCTGCGTGAGCTCACAGCTCCATGAATGACAAGCGGCTCCTTTAAACCTGACAACACCAATGTCTGGTATGCGTTTTATCAGATCGCACTCGTATAGAGAGACTTGTTATCAATTCACTGTCATGCACTTTCACTCCTGTCCACTCAACCAGGGCGGGGCTCTGCACACACCATGAACCAGGGTATCCGCAAGAGTGGGGCGTATGGATTGATATCGTATGTCAAAGACATTTTAAACCCCTTAATATCTAATCTTGTGTTAAAAGGTTGAATTTGTTACTACGTTCAGTCAGAAATGTTGACTTAGTGTATGGATTTAGAGGTCAAATGAGTGTGTGGTGTCTATGGCTCCAACGTCTCCGTCCCTTGTAGATCTCACTGGGGTTTCCTGCACAGCTGAGCACACAGACACATTTCTAACGCAGGTGATGATCCCCGTTTCAGGAATCTCCGTTACAGCAGCGAGAATTTATCACCCAGAGTGATAAGCATCAAGTATTTACGACCGTTTCGTGTCAGGACCAGATCTGCTGTAAATATAGAGGTTGTTCTGTATCAGCTGTACCAATAAAGATCAGCTGAAGGAGTTGTTGACTCAGTGGTTCAGATAAGGCTGAAAGGGCCACGTTTTATGACCCCACTCGTAAACGGGAAGTGACACTTATCAGTGATTAGATTTGTCTATTTACACACTCGTTGTCCTTTCGTCTATAACTTTAAGATCCACTCCTACTTTAAAGCCCAGGAGATCATTGTTATTCTTGATTGAAAATGGTTATTTTAACGTTTGCAAAGAAAAATGTCATGGTGTATTGCTACAGAACTGCTCTGACGTTAAACTTTTTAGATTTTAGCAGAAAAACAAGAAGTAAAAGAGATGGAGGGAGGGGTTTGTTTCCATCTGTCGCACCTTGAGATGAGATTGTATTTCATGTATAGAAAATAGATCAGTGCTTTAGAGACCTTTACTTTTACTATTGTGCTACTTTTTCCTTCCTTTTACTAAATCTTTTATTTAAATATTTACATATTTGAGACACGATACTGAAACAAGCTGCTGTGTTTTTTGGTCAGACTGATGAAGGTAAAGAGGATGCTCCAGGTGAAATGTGGCGTGTTTTTTCTCACATCGTCTATTCTGATCCCCCAACACATCTGAGGAAAGGCCAGACTCTTGATTGTTTGTTAATCTGAAATATTAAAAACTGATATCTTCTTGAAAGTTTCTGCCACAGTTCATAAGTGCTCTACAGAGGTGTGAAATAAACAGGAAAAGACTAAAGGAGATGCATCCATTTTCATCTGCTTATCCAGGGTTGGGTTGCAGGGGCGGTAGCCTAAGCTGAGTCCCAGACTTCCCTCTCGTCAGCTACTTGGGCCGTCTTCTCCGGGGGAATCTTAGGGCTTTCCCTGGCCAGCCAAGAGACGTAGTCCTTCCAGCGTGTTCTGGGTTTTTCTTTGGGTCTTCTCCTGGTTGGGCGTGCCGGGAAAACCTCACCAGGGATGTGTCCAGGAGTCATCTTAACTAGATACCTGATCCACCTCAACTGGCTCCTCTTGAAATGGAGGAGCAGAGTATCTACTCTGGGCTCCTCCCAGATGACCAAACTTCTCACCCTATCTCTAAGGGAGAGCCCAGCCACCCTGTGGAGAAAACTAATTTTGGCCGCTTGTATCCGCAATCTCGTTCTTTTGGTCACTGCCCAAAGCTCGTGACCACGGTGAGTGTTGGAAGGTAGGTTGACCGATAAATCGTGAGCTTTGTCTTCCGGCTCAGCTCTCTCTTCACCACGACAGATCAGTACAATGCCTGCATCACTGCAGACGCAGCCCCAACCCGCCTAGTTCTCACGCTCCAGTTTTCCCTCACTCGTGAACAAGACCCCGAGATACTTAAGCTCCTCTACTTGGCAGGACCTTGTCCCTGACCTGGAGAAGGCATTTGTGGGGGTGACGGTGGCACATGTGCTCGCCCCTTGATCGGGAGGTTGCAGGTTCGAGCCCCGCTCAGTTTGTCACTGTTGTTGTGTCCTTGGGCAAGACACTTAATCCACCTTGCTTGCTGGTGGTGGTCGGAGGGACCGGTGGCGCCAGTGCTCGCCAGCCTCGCCTCTGTCAGTGCACCCCAGGGCAGCTGTAGCTACATGGTAGCTCATCCTCACCAGCGTGTGAATGTGTGTGTGAATGGGTGAATGACCGATTGTGTTGTAAAGCGCCTTTGGGGGTTCTAGGACTCTAGAAGGCGCTATATCAAATACAGGCCATTTACCGTTCTACCCTTGTATGACTCAAGACCATGGTCTCGGATTTAGAGGAGCTGATTCTCATCCCAGCTGCTTCACACTCGGCGACGAATTGCTCCAGCAAAAGCTGGAGATCACGTTCTGATGAAGCCAACAGGACCACATCATCTGCAAAAAGCAAAGACCTGATCCTCAGGCCACCAAAGCAGATCCCCTCAACTCCTCGGCTGCACCTAGAAACCCTGTCCATAAAGGTTATAAACAGAATCTGTGACAAAGTTTAAAGGAGATATTTCAGGTAATCTACAGGATGTTTCTGTGTAAAAGTCATAAATCATTATCGTCTTATAGATTGTTTCCAGCTCCAGTCATCATAAGAATTTATTTAATGTTACAGTATTTTATCTTTTTATTTGGTCACACTGAATGAAACATGCATGCCATCTGTGTTTGTCTAAAGCTGCAATAACGACTCTTTAAACAAGAAACCTGTGCAGAAAGGGTGTAACCCTTCTTAGTGCAGATTTCATGACCTCACCGACTCCTTTTTTCATCTGTTTTCTTTCCTCTGCTGGAAGCATGAAAGTGCTTTTACTTACTGGAACTAACAAGCGGCTCAGTCTGGCCGTTGGTAGATCCTGTCATCATCTAATGTTATTGAAATCACTCTTTATGAAATTTGTTCAATTTGTGCTGCGTAATCTTATTAAAAAGTGACACACACAGCCTCGTTAATGGACAACCTTCTTAGAAAACTGAGAAGGCCTTCAAGGAAATGCGCACAAGTGCTGGGGTTTGGGTCTTAATCATGAAAACAAATGCACATCCTTTTCTTCTTGAAATCCTTCCATATTTAGAGTCAGGTCTCTGTTGACACCAGTCTACTATTACAACATTGATTCTTGCTTTCAGCGGCATAGAAGCAAACTGACAGAACGCACAATCAATTTCATAATGTTTGACATTGGTCTGTGTTATCATTAACGCTCATTCCTTTTATTAATATTAACCAAATCACACTCAAACCTTCCAACAGTTTTAGTACACAAGAATGAAACTCTAACAGACGTAATGAGTTTGCAGCTTGTATGGCCACCAAAACCCGTGCACGCGTATTGTCCACATCGCGCGCGCGAACGGGACTCGCGCTTGGAAGTTAGAACCTCACGAGTGAAAATATACATGGCGAGGAGGTCATTTGTACACTGAGAGGGAGCAAACTGTGTCTGAGAGTGCACAAGGATGTGCACAAGTGACAAACCTGCATGCGCGCATTGGCCAACGAGCACACGGCAGAGGAAAACATGCGCACAGCAGTAGGGATGGGTACCGAATTCGGTACTTTTTACGGTACCGACCGAATTCCATAGTACCGACCGAGCACCGATTCACGTCATTTCAAATGGTGCCTCGTTTCGGTACCCGTCCTTCACAATGAGAACTTGCCAAGACAGCTGCGCATGTGCAAGAGCGTTATGTCATCGTTCGCTGCGAGCGAGTCGTAAACAGAGCAGCATGGTAGAAAGAACGCACGCTAACGCTTCGCTAAATGTGATGGGTAACTGGGTGATGATGAGACCAGTGACAACGATCTAAGTGTGAGGCATCATCGTTTTAATCTGCTTCAGCAGTTAAAAAAACTTTAAGATAACGTTAGCTTGATTTGTTAGCTTCCATTGCCACCGTTGTTATCAGCTAATGGTGCGTTCGCTTTCTCCTCGGAAATTCTAACTTCCCAGTAGGAACAATCAATTGAAAAAGGACGGCAAAAGGAATGAAGATACACAGTAAATGTAGTTCACAGTAAAGATTTTTGCTTCAGTTTAATTATCAGCTTATAAAACTACAAGGACGATGTTAAAATACAAACATGGATCTTTGCAGCCATCCATACAACTTGGGAATGAACCAAAATGGACCTGGTTGCTTTGCTTTAATCTCATCAAGTGAGTCACGTCCAGCTGCTCCTTTAGCAGGATGTTGTAGAGTTCTGTATCTGCCTAAAGGAGCAGCTGGATGATGTGACTGGTCTGAAATTCCTGCTGAATTTCTTTTTTCTCTCTCTCGGTTACAACACCGACATCGAGAAAGATGATCCTGCCCGTACAACGTTAATCCAGAACTGAAGTTAACTGTCCCAAACTTACAAAACATGTTTAAAAGTTGATTATTTGATACTAGAAAGGAATAATTGCGGTTTTTCTGTTAAATTTATCTCCATGTAGACTCTTGCTGCTAGTTCAAATTAGAGGTCGACTGATACTGGGTTTTCTATTACCGATACCAATGCCGATATGGAGACATGGTTAGCTGACATGTACTGCCGATTATTATGGGCCAATTTCCATGGCCGATCTAGACATTTTCCACCTTAATTTCATGCTAAAATGTCACTAGTACCGTAGCTTTGATCATTTTCCGTGCTTGGTTCTTCTCGTTGAGACAACAGTTTTGAATAACTTGACTGTTCCTGTATATATTGTTATGAGTTTTTGTGTGCTGTGTACCTTAAGGACAGTTACGTTATACTGTATGAGCAGGTAAACTGGCAACGCAGGCTGGCTGTGCTCTCTGGGTTTGGGGTTAATGTCTGATATAGACTGTTTTATGGTAGATTACTGGTCTCTCAGGGTCTGTTGCTTATATAGTTTCTAAGCAGTCAATCATAGGAAACTTTCTGTAAAATATAAAAGCTGTGTCAAGGTATTGAAGGCTTTGGTCACTCTCTATGAATAAAGTTTTGACATCATCCCACACAGACGTGTTGTCAATAAAGATTGAGCCTCAGATAAGTAGTTGGTCTTCAATAACGGTAAGCTGTCTGAACTATTCTGAATCTTGAGTGGCAGAAAGGTCAGATGGCTACGTTTAAACTTCTGTGTGACTGCAGTGTTTTATGTTGGTGATGAAAAGTTAGAAAGACCGATCTCTGAGGGAGAAATGGGTCATAAGATTAAATGATGTCTTTACTGGTGCTGGGTCATGCTGCTCTTACTACTGACAAAGCTGCAAAGATGGCAGGGTTTTCACATCTGTTGTTGTGTATGTGGGACTTTCTCACAGTTTTTTGTGATTTTTATCTACGCTGTATGGCACGCTGTTTATCACTGATTGAGCTACGTTTTCTGGTTTATGTTCCAAATCTGCGCCTGCTGCTGAAAATCATGTCTGCCACATAAATATAACAAGTGGATATGAGCAATTGAGTTGTGCACAAACCAGCAGGAGACTGATTCTAGTAAAATCATCATTTAAATCTCAACAAGGCCCACAATACTGTCTCAAGAGGACCCCTAATATTAATATTGTTGCCTTGGTAACAGAGTTTCAGTTCTCTGGCCAAGAATACCTTGTATAATGTTGTCTTCACTTTGATGCTGAGCTTAAAAACAAACGTCCAGTCATCAGCCCACATTTGGTTTGTCCTACTGGACAGAACATTCCAGCTGTGGTGATGAACACTCCACACTTCCCTGCTGCCCTTTTACGTGATCTTTAACAAGATGACGATACAGTGCTTTCCATTAGATAGCACACACTAAAGTGTCTTGCCAAGAACGCTTTGGCTCATTGTTAAAGGATGAGAGTGACCAATATTCTATAGAAACTTCAGCTTCCTTTAAAATGCAATGAACAAATACTCAGGAATCCTGATTTACCTGACCATTGTTAAAAGTCAAAACTATGTAATACTTGTTATTTTTGAAATACGATTTGTCACTCTGAATTGCGTCTTTATGCTGAATATGAAAACTCTCCGAGCTCTAACCTCTGCATTAGCCGCAGAATGGAAAAGGGCAGGAACATGTTTAGAAAAAGCCAGTCTCATCTACGTCAAAAATTAGGGCTCATAGCCTCGCCCACCCTGGGCTGTGACTGCAGGAGGCTGTAATGATTTAGTGGCCCACAGGAGTCATGGCTAGCAGAAGCTAACATTAGCAACAGCAACTCCGCAACATGGTAGATCACTTTCAGGCTTTTGTTATTCGTGGAGATGAAACAACAGAGCGACAGGAAGCAATGGAAGAGTTGTATCTCTGTCAGCGAATCAGAAGTGAGATATCTTCATATCATGATCATTAATGAGTCATTTTCCACCCCCACTCCTCCAACAAAAGTCTACCCTCTTAAACAGGAGTGCAAGGGCTTTGTACTAGAGACAACAGCTTTTAAAGCTTTTAAATGATCTTTTGCTGTGTGCCACTCTCCCTCTGGTGGTCATAATGTTGCAATCATTTAAATGCCCTTATATTCTTATCAGAAGACAAAATTGTATTGTGAAGCTGTTGAATGGTAGGAAATAATGGAAAATGGTGATCCACTGGAGCACAGTGGACAACAGGAAGCTCTTAAAGCATTGAAGTTGTTCCATTAGGCCATTCCATTATGACCAGATTAGTTAAACGTAATAATGTGGTTGACTTTCTCTCTTTGTGGTTTCTTTAACAGATCTTTCTGCTGGCCTGTCCACCTTGTAAAACAGCTATGGTCATATTTAGGTGAGTTTATTCTCCTTCTTTAGAAGTGGCTTCCTGTGGAAAGTCTGTGATCATTAGTACCTGTAGATATCTCTTTAAATGACGCCTATTTGTACAAACAAAGAGTGTTTAAACAATTTCAATCTCAAAACCTTCATAGTAGTTTATTTAAATGCAAAATAAACTCATGTTGGCTGTCGGCATGGTGGTGGAGAATTGATGATTTGGGCCTGAATGCCTAGTAGTTCATCTATTTGTGTAACGCAGGACAACTCAATTAGACAGTAACTAACACATGTACAAGTGTAGATTTAGGGATAATTGACCATAAAAGTGTCAGAATTTTTCTTTTTAAATCTTCTGTGTACAAAAACGGCCAAATTGTCAGGAAAGACCCTCAAGTGTGGTGAATTAGAATGAAGTGTGTCTTAAAAAAGGAAAACTCCACAGGCTCCCAGGAGTGACGGCTGAGTTCATCTGAAGTGACGTTCCTACAGCACTTCTGCTTCCATAATGACCTTAGCTGTCACAACAGCTATTTTGGCTCATTTGACAAAAAGAGCAGCTCATGTGTCAAAGTAGGGCTGCTCGATTATGGCAAAAATAATAATCACGATTATGGTGACTGAAATTGAGATCACGATTATTTAGGGCGATTTTTCAATTTATGTTGATTTTATTTGTTTTTATTCTGTCATAAAATTGCTCAGGGCACAATCAGGACAAAAATAAATAAGAAACAAGATGATCACTAAAATAACTCCTGATTCCCAGTATAAAAAGACCAATATACTTATAGCTCATAGTTTATGACCCAAGGGCTATAGACCTTGGTTTAACTCATGTAAGTCTAACCAGTACAGACCCAAATACCAATATCTTGCAAATACTGACAGCAAGAATTATACAATGGCATTTATAACAAATAAATGCAAATAAATTGATGTTTACAAAATGTTGTATAACAATTATTGAGTCGTGTCAAGGTGCTGTAGGAGAGTGCACTAGCACCGTGTCCTCAGAGAGATTAGTTATTATTTATCAGCGTGAGGAACTTATTTCTACCTTATTTATAAACTATTTATTTACAAGTCCATCAGTTAATGTAATAATTGTCCCAACCACAGCTGCACCCCTCACCCCCCACCCCGGTCTCACAGCAATCGGGCAAGCTGCATGTGTGTTTAGCACGCCGCACGTGCACATTTAGCCGTTTTTAGCAGCTCAGGAGTCCGCAGGTGCGGTGTGTGTGTCACTCACTCTGGTTACTCCAACAAGAAGCCGGCTCCGAGAGCCGTGTCTTTAGCGACTGACACATCACTACATCATTCCCTTTCCTAATGTCCTGAAGAACGGTCCGGAGTGCAGGCGGAGTGTTTAGCTAACCTGCAGGAAACGTCGACGACGGTTATCCAGAAAGTAGCTATGGGTTACCAGAGATGTTTCTGAGGTGTTCGCTAGGTACTTTTAAGATTTAAAAAGTCAAGAAGGGGGTCTGAAAAGCTGTTGGAAATAGCGTCAAAGTCGCTAAGTTGGCAACACTGTGGAGGTGCGCTTCATTTGCAACTCAGGGCAGCGCAAGTGGGAGGAGCAAATAATCGGCTTGTTTTGTTTTTTATAATCGTTCAAAACTCAGATCGTAATCGTGATTAAAATTCGATTAATTGAGCAGCCCTATGTCAAAGTGCATCTGTCCAAACTTTGAAACGTTCACTTCTGGGCTCCACAGCGGTTCACCGTCTCTCTAGAATAAGAGAAACCCAATTTCAGAAATCATGAAAAAAATTCAAGTTTTATGACTGATGAATGAAGACGTCTGATCGTTTTGCCCAAATCCCAACTGCATTTGGGTCTGATTTAAAAATGCCAGGCCTTGTATTCATCGTTAGGGATATATAACTGATGTGATATTTCACCATCAACACTCCAACAAGGAACTGAAAGTAACAAATAAGAGAAAGCTGCTGAAAACAACACCAGCAAACACTGATGTATTTTGTTGTAGAAATAATTTATTCATCTGATAAATTAGCTGTTTTTTAAATTTTATTTATTTATTTATTTTTCTTTAATTTATTTATTGAAAGTGTGATTATCCGAATGTTGTCCTGCTTGCTTTCAGGCTGCACGTCCACATGTTAAATGGAGCTTTACTGGCTTTAATGTTCCCCGTCGTCAATACCAGACTGGTGAGTAACCACTGCTTCTCTGAACTGACCCCCTGCTCGGACATCAAGTCAACGTAGCAGCTCTTCACTGCTTTTATGGCAGAACTGTCTTTTTATGTTATGTATATTTGATGTGTCTATACATATAATACATATACATAATCTTTACTAGCTTTTTATTCTGAATAGACCTGGTACTCGACATTTGTGATGTTTGGCTATATTGATTCTAGTGATGAAATTCAGAATGTGTGGATGGATAGAAAGGCAATGCAAACCACTGTGCAAAGACCTAGTTTGGACGTCCTACAGACGTGGTCTGGACCGACAGACTCAATATAGACATGATCTGCATGACCATGTGATGTTGACTGTTTGCAGAGAAGGCAAGGCAGCTTTATTTATGAAGCACGTTTCATACACAGAGGCAATTCAGTGTGCTTTCCATTAGTAAGAATAGCAAGAACATTCAAATCAACGTGATAGAAAATACTATTTAAAAATTAAAAAGAAATAAAGGGGGAGCATATACAGTGCAGAATGTGCAGCATAAGAATATTCATTCAAAGGCTGATGAAAACAAGGTTTTCAGTCTTTAGTTTAGTGAGCAGCATAGTAACTAAAAGCAGATTCCACCGTAGGTAGGTGGGTGGGGTGGGTGGGTGGGTGGGTGGATGGATGGATTGATGGATGGATGGATAGATAGATGGGCTGCATGGTGGTGCAGTGGTTAGCACTGTTGCCTCGCAGCACAAAGGTTTCAGGTTCGAAATTCGGCTGCTGCCTTTCTGCGTGGAGTTGCGTGTTCTCCCCATGCATGCGTGGGTTTCCTCCGGGTACTCCGGTTTCCCCCACAGATCACAACATGCCCTATAGGTTATAAATTGTAAGTCGCTTTGGATAAAAGCGTCTGCCAAATAAATAAACATGAACATGGATGGATGGATGGATGCTTTTATTTGAACATTTGCAACAAAAAACAATAAGCAGAGTTTAACATTTAGCCAGAATAATAAAATCATCTAAAGAAAACAACCAAAAACTCTATAAACAATAATAACCAGGGTATCCGCGGGTCCTTAAAAAGTCTTAAATTTGCTTTTGCAAATTTAAGGCCTTGAAAATCCTTAAAAATGACAGATAATCCTTAAATACAGTTTCCAAAGGTCTTAAATGACCAAAGACCCAATAAACAAGATTATTTTATTTCTATAAAAATTTTCATGAATTTCTAGTTAGTGTTCAGCATTTTTTGTGTACGATGTTGGCGTAAGCGGAACCGTACACATTCAGTTGGTTGTGAAAGGGGGCTGTTTTTAGATGAGCACATTAGCTGGTTAAGCTAGTGGGAGCTTGCACCATGGGGAAGTGCAAGTTTAATGGTAACTGGATGGTTAATCCCAAGTTCACGACGTGGTTAGCACCGGTTCCAGGCAATAGCTGGAAATTATAGCTTAAATTTAATTTTAAAATAGCTTAAATTTGGTCAAAGTGGCCTTAAAAAAGGTCTTAAAAAGTCTTAAATTTGGCTCCCTTAAACCTGCAGATACCCTGAATAACACATATGCCCATAAAAGAGGTACTAGAATTCCTAACCTTATTTACCTTGTTGAATTTAGGCAGCTTGAGGCGTCCAGTGTAGCATACCAAAGACTCTGTGCCTTCTCCAACTTGTTTTCCTATGTAATGGCCATGAAGAAACAGCTTGTTCTGAAAAACTCTGTTTCAACACGTCATGAGCTCAGACACACATCCCAAATTTGCTTGTCCCGACTAGGGGTGCCCCATCTTAGGTACCTCATGAATTCAGGGTCCTTCGCTTAGATTATTAAATAATTATCATGATTATCAATAGTTTTGATGTATTTTTTTTCACGGTTTAGGTTCTTTCCTAGGCAGCATGCGTAACTTTGTTCCTGCCACTCTTAGCAGCTGTTTATTTATAATCGTTAATGACATTTACAAATTAATTTAGAATCGTCACGTGTCACAAAGCAATGCATGTTTAAATAGTGAATTGGCACACCCCTTGTCCAAGTTAAACGTTGGTGGTTTATAAACGTTGGTAGCGATAATGCTAACAGCAGAACAATGCTGGCTCGTCCTACTGCTAACGTCCTTTGTCAAATGAGGGGAAAACAAAGAACGTTGGAGCACACGTGACGTTCCAGGATGTTATACCCAGACTTTGAATGAATTCCAGATAGATCCATAACTTGCTTATTGAGTTATCCGGATACTTTACACAGCTGAACACAAAAGTTGTGCTTCAGGCAGCATCATAGAGCCATGGGTGTAAATGGACCAATCAGCATGCAGCTCATTTAATATTCATACTCTGGCCAAGTGGGCCGGGTTAATTAGTCCTTCCATTGTAGGGCTTTATTATGAGGTTTCTCGTCTCGTCTCGTCTTCCTCCGCTTATCCGGGTCCGGGTCGCGGGGGCAGCATCCCAACTAGGGAGCTCCAGGCCGTCCTCTCCCCGGCCTTGTCCACCAGCTCCTCCGGCAGGACCCCAAGGCGTTCCCGGACCAGATTGGAGATGTAACCTCTCCAACGTGTCCTGGGTCGACCCGGGGGCCTTCTGCCGGCAGGACATGCCCGAAACACCTCCCCGGGGAGGCGTCCAGGAGGCATCCTGACCAGATGCCCAAACCACCTCAACTGGCTCCTTTCGATCCGGAGGAGCAGCGGTTCTACTCCGAGTCCCTCCCGAATGTCCGAGCTCCTCACCCTATCTCTAAGGCTGAGCCCGGCCACCCTACGGAGGAAACTCATTTCGGCCGCTTGTATCCGCGATCTCGTTCTTTCGGTCATTACCCAAAGCTCATGACCATAGGTGAGGATTGGGACGTAGATCGACCGGTAAATCGAGAGCCTGGCTTTCTGGCTCAGCTCCCTCTTCCCCACGACAGATCGGCTCAGCGTCCGCATCACTGCAGATGCCGAACCAATCCGCCTGTCGATCTCCCGATCCCTCCTACCCTCACTCGTGAACAAGACCCCGAGATACTTAAACTCCTCCACTTATGAGGTTTCATTTGGCCTTTTTCAGGACTCCTGGGCCATTTTGAGCCTCAACAAAGTTTTATAAGCTATAAAGAGGCTCAAAGAAAAATTTCAATTCATAGAAAAGACTGTTTTAGGACCCCTTTAATAGTTACTACGTGCGTTTTCAACAGTATCAGGAAGAAATCTGAGCTTATTTGATCCTCGTTAATGTTTGATGTGTTTTTGGTTGAAGTGGAGAAATAAATGAAGTGTGTTTCTATTCTCTTTGAAAATCACATTAAATACTCTTATTTGAATAATGACCAAAACAGAAAGAATCCTAAAACTGTCTCTGAATGACTGAAGCAAATTAAAAATCCACATTTCAGCCCTGCTTTGTGACCTTTATGTTGACACTTTGTCAGCTTGTATAACGAGGGTATAAAGGAGTTTTCACACCAGGAACAAGCCTGACAAAGACTGCTATTTGAGGGAAAAAAATGTATGCAACCAATTACCCCCCAAAGGATAGGTAATCAATTATAGTAATAATAGAAAACTGTTTCAGAGACGGATCAGATGAGGTGGTATTAACTTTGTGCTGGAGATTTGGTGTTTTTAAACACATTTTCAGGTTCAAACTTTACCATAAAGCTTGTGAAAGTCAAACACTGTTCCCTCAACATGGTGTTAACATAGATTTGTATCTCCTCTCCTCTAGTTCCTTATCAGATCTTAAAAAAGGGAAGCTTTCCTTCACATAACTGTTTTGCATTTTATTTAGTGTGAATGCATGTTCCTGTGGTTCAGCACAGGATCAGGAAAACTAAACACTGAAGTAGCAAAACTAGTTTTCAGCAGCAATTTGTTTATTCTCATAACACATTAATTATTTATTGTAGCAGTCACGTTTGTCTGGCATCAAATTTACTCTTTAACTAACCATAAATTCATGAGTCTGTTTTCCTTTCCACGTTTCTGACCCTACATTAGTTTGACCTGTCTTGTCGTCTCGCCCATCTTCTGTTTTTTCCTCAGCTGCCGTTCGAGAAGGAGATCTACTACATCCAGCACTCCATGATGTACTTGGTGCCTCTTTACCTTTTCAGAAAAGGAGGTGGGTGTCGAACATGCTGTCTCAAATAACACACTAAAATACCTCTCACATTCTGTCCTCACAGCGTGATAACGTATTGACATTTCTGCGCGCACACACACACACACACACACACACACCAGGTACCAGCTAGTGTTTTCTGTTGATCAGCAGAGGTTGCTGCTGATCACGTCACTGTTTTCATTTTAAACAAACATCTGATTACTGGTCTCGACGTGCTTGCTGTAGCCTTCACCCATGCACAAAATCAAGTTCAATCAATATCCTTATGCAGAGGCATCAAACGCTGCAGGGCAAAGGTCGTAAAGCTGTTGAGGTAAAGTATTTACAGCTTGCAGGTAAAACCAGCAGCATGTCCAGCTCAAAACTGTAATGTAATCCTGCATGCTGATTCACATGACATAAAACGCTGGAGAAGGCTCTCAGTCATCCAGGTCAGGGTAATCCTAGTCGATTCAAACCAAGGCAACTGGACTTCTTTGGTTTCTTGAAGACGGGAAGTCACAAGTTGACGTGTCGGACCGGTCCACTTGTCAGGGGATATTTTCTGTGTTCCTGTGTCTGACCGAAGCACCACTTCACAGAGGGGTAGAGGAGGGGATTCACATCTCAGCAATAGCCCACTTCCCATATTCCTGTTAGAAGTCACAAAGCTCCTCGGATGAGAAGTGGAACGTTTGTCCCGTTGCCTTCCTATGAACCTGCTGGGATGCATATATGAGTTAAAGGGTTATTTTAGAGGGCAATAAATAATGACTTTTCTTACTAGTGATGCACCGATATGAAATTTTTGTGCCGATACCAATATTAAGATCATTGTTATGGCCGATAACCGATATTTTCCGATACCGATATACTAACATTAGGGCTTCTAAAATCAGCAGATTTTGTATAGAATGAAAATTATTAAAGCTGAATTTACATTATTATGTACACACAACACACGCATTTACAGTTCATATGACTAAACAATTACACATCACCCCTCTCACCCTCTGAAACAGGCAAACAAGTGGAGACAAGATGGAAAAAATATCTGTTGTTAAAATCAGCCCGATTTTATTTATCAAACCGATACTGATGTGTTAAAAAATGACTAACATCGGCCGATACCAATATTGATGCCTTTTTCGTACCTTTTAACACTTCCTGAACAGCCTTTGTTTGGAAAAATAGATTTTATGTCCTCCGGGACTGATGAGCTAATGGGTAGTACGAGTTGTCTTAAAGCAACTTAACTTTGTTAGATTTCACAGCAGTTCATGTGACATGGTTATCATAAAGGCACAGATTCTGGGCTGATTTTAAACCTTTTCACAGAAACTAGTTTCAAGAGAGTCGAAAAATGAACACCTTCTTACCCCTTCTTTCCACGGGAGCCGTCAGCAGCACGTTACTGCAGCAGCACGTCTTGCTCGCGTAAACTGCTGCTTGGCCCTTCCCACGAGGCGCGAAGCAGCAGGGGGAGCAGCCGTCACCGACAGAGCACAAAGTCACACGAGTGACTTCGTCAGTAAACACAACAACAAGCAGGAGAAAACTACAACATGGTTTGTGTTTTATGTTCTGTCCATTTTATAATCGCCAATACGGACCTGAAAAACAAAGGAGACCGCTAGCTAGGTGATAACTTCTCACGGGGCCGCACAGTTAGTAACATTTTTAAAGTAAAGCAACCGGAAGGCAGTACGTTTCTTTATTCTGAAAATCTCGGGAGCTTCGCTCCATTTCCGCGTCCGATTTCCTGTCTTTCCTTCCCCAAAAATGTTGAACTTGACCCGTTTCAGAGGCGTCACGCGTAGAAATAGAACCGGCGCGTAAGGGCCGCGACATGCTGCTCCTGAGACGCGGCCGACTCGCGCTGCTGATGGCTCCGGTGGAAAAGGTTCTGTTGACCACAGCAGTTCCTATCAGCAGCTATGACATGCTTCTGCAGTAACGTGCTGCTGACGACTCCGGTGGAAAGAAGGGGTTACATCCCAAACCAACAATCCCAGAACCTCAGACCGTACAGAACACGCTGGGGTGTAAAAGAGTGAGCGATCAGACAAGTACCATTCAGAGACTTAAAAACCAGTGTAGGAACTTTAAAATTAGCCCAAATCAAACCAGAAACCATTGAATAACGGAGTTTTGTCCAGAAAATGCTGTCTAAATGTCGTTCCTCTTTATTTTTAAGGTGACCTCTAAACAAAAGAGAAAATAAGCTTGCTGACAGAACAGAAGCTAATTTTTTCACCTTCTACTCTTGGTACAGGAAAAGCCAGTTCCACAAACACACACACACACTGCTGATTATTTTTCTGCAGTCATGAGTGACTTGTTACACAAACACACTCTTCAACTGTTTATTTTACTCTCACCAGTCACTCTGTAGCTTTAACCTGCAGGCCTTTGATGTCTAATCCAGGTCCTCGATGGCCACCATACTGCACATTTTAGATATTTCTTTGCTCCACAACACCTCAACATGTAATTGAACCAGTAGATCAGGTGTGTTTGTGGAGGGAAACAACTTTAATGTGCAGGATAGTGAACTTGGAGGGCCAGGATTGGACACTGCTGAATGTTACACAAGGGGTTGTCTTTGCAGGTGTGTACCGGCCGGAGCCCCTAGGGGACATGTGGTGGGCCCTCCTCTCCACAGGCATCCTGTTCCTCTATCACTTCGGCTTCCTGCAGATCCTTGGCCTGGTAAGATGAAGCCCTCTGCTGGGCACCTTGGGTATTTCAATCTGTTAAAACAGGCTTGCAGGGATTTCTGTTACTTTATTCTTGAGTGGTTTTGATTTTTAAATATTGATCTGATACATTTTTATAGTGAGCCTTTAATCTTTGCGTATGGGTATTTTCTACAAATAACACATTTTCAGCCAGATTGAAGACTTTAGAATTAAGTCAACCTAAGAAAAAAGTTTCAGTTAGACTTTTATAAAATACACAGAAGTTAAGCTAAAGTTCAGTTCAATGTTGGTTAGTTAAGGAATGCATTTTTGACAAATGGGTTTATGACTCATTATCTTTGTGAAAGTTATAAATAACTTTCAGATAGTTTAAAGAATGGCTCCTGTTCAGAGAAACAGTTTATGTTCAACTGGAATACAGTGGGGCAAAAAAGTATTTAGTCAGCCACCGATTGTGCAAGTTCTCTCACTTAAAATGATGACAGAGGTCAGTAATTTACATCATAGGTACACTTCAACTGTGAGAGACAGAATGTGAAAAAAAATCCATGAATTCGCATGGCAGGAATTTTAAAGAATTTATTTGTAAATCAGGGTGGAAAATAAGTATTTGGTCACTTCAAACAAGGAAAATCTCTGGCTCTCACAGACCTGTAACGTCTTCTTTAAGAAGCTTTTCTGTCCTCCACTCGTTACCTGTGTTAATGGCACCTGTTTGAACTCATTATCTGTATAAAAGACACCTGTCCACAGCCTCAAACAGTCAGACTCCAAACTCCACTGTGGCCAAGACCAAAGAGCTTTCGAAGGAAACCAGGAAAAGAATTGTAGACCTGCACCAGACTGGGAAGAGTGAATCTGCAATAGCCAAGCAGGTTGGTGTGAAAAAATCAACTGTGGGAGCAATTATCAGAAAATGGAAGACATACAAGACCAATGATAATCTCCCTCGATCTGGGGCTCCACGCAAGATCTCATCCCGTGGGGTCAAAATGATCATGAGAACGGTGAGCAAGAATCCCAGAACCATACGGGAGGACCTGGTGAATGACCTGCAGAGAGCTGGGACCACAGTAACAAAGGTCACCATCAGTAACACACTACAACGGCAGGGAATCAAATCCTGCAGTGCCAGACGTGTTCCGCTGCTGAAGTCAGTGCATGTCCAGGCCTGTCTGAAGTTTGCCAGAGAGCACATGGATGATACAGCAGAGGATTGGGAGAATGTCATGTGGTCAGATGAAACCAAAGTAGAACTTTTTGGTATAAACTCAACTCGTCGTGTTTGGAGGAAGAAGAATACTGAGTTGCATCCCAAGAAAGCCATACCTACTGTGAAGCATGGGGGTGGGAACATCATGCTTTGGGGCTGTTTTTCTGCTAAGGGGACAGGACGACTGATCCGTGTTAAGGACAGAATGAATGGGGCCATGTATCGTGAGATTCTGAGCCAAAACCTCCTTCCATCAGTGAGAACTTTGGAGATTAAACGTAGCTGGGTCTTCCAACACGACAATGATCCCAAACACACCGCCCGGGCAACAAAGGAGTGGCTCCGTAAGAAGCATTTGAAAGTCCTGGAGTGGTCTAGCCAGTCTCCAGACCTCAACCCCATAGAAAATCTGTGGAGGGAGTTGAAAGTCCGTGTTGCTCGGCGACAGCCCCAAAACATCACGGCTCTCGAGAAGATCTGCATGGAGGAATGGGCCAAAATACCAGCTACTGTGTGTGCAAACCTGGTAAAGACCTATAGTAATCGTTTGACCTCTGTTATTGCCAACAAAGGTTATGTTACAAAGTATTGAGTTGAATTTTTGTTATTGACCAAATACTTATTTTCCACCCTGATTTACAAATAAATTCTTTAAAAATCCTGCCATGTGACTTCATGGATTTTTTTTCACATTCTGTCTCTCACAGTTGAAGTGTACCTATGATGAAAATTACTGACCTCTGTCATCATTTTAAGAGGGAGAACTTGCACAATCGGTGGCTGACTAAATACTTTTTTGCCCCACTGTAAATGGCTGCCTGATTGCAAAGTGATGTTCTGTAACAGAAGATTAATCTTTGAACGCTGAACCTAAGCTTTGCAGTGTTCATTTTTCTGACATATTCCAAGGCAATTCTGCCAATTTTTCCATCCCACCCACTTAGGCTATGAAGCCAATTAAGCAAGAATTAATAAAAGAAGTAAAAAGGCAGAGATAACAAGATGTGAATCATTCAGCAGCCAAATGAGTTTCTGCAGTCTAACGATAAGTCGTGGATGACTTGGAGGCTCATCACTTCTTCCATTTATGGGGAGTTTTTAGAGCAGAAATCCACACGAAATTAATGATTTATGAAGATATGTGGAGTGAAATCACCCGTGACATTTGCTCTAACCTCATCCAAGTGGATTTTTAAATTACCATTGGCATTAAAATGAGGTCTCACATCCAATCAACCCGTCTCTCCTCCAGGCGACTGAGGTCAACTTGAACAACATGCTGTGTCCGGCCGTGTCCGACCCCTTCTACGGGCCCTGGTACCGAGTGTGGGCCACGGGCCACCAGACTCTGCTGACCCTGATCCACGGAAAGCTCCTCACCCTCCTGTCACATCACACCGGCTCTGTCTGTAGATACGTGCTGGACACACTCCGACTGCGCAGCAAGAAGGTGGACTAGAAGTCCACGCAGTCTCTCCCTCTTAATGAGATTTTCTTTTTAAACCAACATTTTTAACGGATCTTTTAAGACTTACTTTCTGCTCTGTTGCAACAAGGGAAGGTTGCAGGCCAGTGAAATCAGCGTGTCAGTCATTGTTTTGTACGTGGCTTGTATACATACTCGCATGCACAGCTGTAATGTGCATTTTAAAGTTGTTACTGTGGAGCGGAGCAGGTTTTACAAAAATACTCTGTCCAGACTCGGGTAAATGACTTCCAGAAAAGGTTATCTTGCTGCTTTTTTTCTGTAAGCTTTCGGGGACACAAACCAGAACCGCCTGACTCCTCTGCAGTCGTTACTTTCAGTTTTTAAACCCGCTATTTACTAGTACTTATTTTATTTTGGTAAAAGCTGCTGTTTTAGTCGTCTCAAGTGCGCTTTGAAGCAGATTGCAAACGTAAAAGTTATCGCTTGTTCATAGTGTGAGAACGTGTGTGTGTTCTCCGTGTCGTCACAGCTGAAGAAGCCAAAAAAAATAATTCACATACATGTCGACTTTTAAAAGTGTTTTATAAGTGGCTTCTTTTGTCTTTGTGTCTCCAGCCTGTTCAAATGCCTTCCAGTTCTGATAATCAGGGGACACAAGACTCCATAAATGCTGTAAGTCAAGGTGATGAGTACAGGATCTAACCTGGACGGTGTGTTCCCCTCCTCTGAGGAGGTTGTTTTTGTTTGAATTGTTTTATTGTATTTGACTATATTTATCAGTGTCTATCGTTATGCACATTAAGATACACACAGCTTTCCACCATCAGAAGAATGTTTATAAAAATGTGTATCTGAGCTGGTATTATGTCATCACGCTTGTTAAAGGTGTGTACGGTAATCTGCATGAAGCCGTTTATAATCCACCATCAGCCATAATTGAAGTTGTCCCTCATAGACCTACGTCATTTCAGCTATGATGGTTTTATATAAAAGTATATATATAATCGTTACGATTTAGTGTCAAGAAAGGAGAAAAGGAAGTTTTGTACTCGTCAGTTCAAATCTATGTTCTGTGTCAACAATAAAAGGGATTAAAATTGGCCTGAGTCATTATTTTGAGTTCTTTGAGACCATATTTTGTAACATTAACTGCCCCTAGAATTTCTCAAATCAAACTCTTGCCAAGTTTTAAAATCAAAAATTGTGGTTTACCGTTTGTTGGCTGCTTAAAGCAGTTTGTTTTTCATGTTTTTTATGATAAACCACATAGATTAGCATAGCGTTGCCATTCCCTAAACATCTGGATCACTGATTGCTTTTTTCCAATACTCATCTGTAGAAGAGTTGGAATTATCTTAAAACGCGTAGGGATATTAAAGCAAAAAACATTCTACTCAATGAAGAGTATGGATGCTTTGTTATATACAGTGAAATGCTAAATGTTGCATTATAGCAAACCTAAATGAAAGAACAAGCATTCAAATTTCCTTACAAAGAAAGCCTCTAAGGAGCCACATTTATTCTGGCTCTATACTGCAATGACAACCTTTTCCATAAGGTCAGGTAAGGGGGGCTTAAATTCAGGGGAGCGTTTGAAAGTAAGCTGCAGAGGTTCAATGGCCTGTAGCACCTCACAATGGAAGATCTTTGAAATATTCAAATTACAAAAAGACGTTCAAGTGGACGCAAATTTAGAAAAAACTATCAAATGCCTCAAGTGGAGGAGTTTTAAGTATCTTGGGGTCTTGTTCACAAGTGAGGGAAAGTTGGAGCGCAAGATCGATTAGCATCTGTAGCAATGCGGGCCTTGTACCGGTCTGTCCTGGTGAAGTGAGTCGATCCACTTCCTACTCTCATCTACGGTCACGAGCTTTGGGTAGTGACTGAAAGAATATGACTGCAGATGCAAATGATTTCTCTGCCGGGTGTTTGGACTCTCCCTTATAGAGAAAGGGTGAGAAGCTCGGTAATTCGGGAGGGACTCAGAGTAGACCCGCTACTCCTCCACATCGAGAGGAGCCAGTTAAGGTGGCTCAGGCATCTGGTTAGGATCCGTCCTGGATGCCTCCCTAGTGAGGTTTTCCAGGCACATCCAACTGAGAGGAGACCAAAAGAACGACCCAGGACAATGTTTTGGGCAGGGAACACATTGGGATTCTCCCAGAGGAGCTGCCCAAGTGGCTGGGGAGAGGGACGTCTGGGCCTTTCTGCAACCCAAACCCAGGTAAGCAAATGAAATGGATGGATGATAAAATATTTCTCTTTTACTCCATAACCTGCCTTGAAATAAGAGCACCGAGTCCGAGTTAACATACATGTGAGACACAACAACACAATGTTTTGAGCATATTTTGTGCAGTTTATTGAATAAATGATCTTAAAAGGTAACAATGTTTAAAACTACATCTTCACAGCCATTGCTTACATACTCAGATAACCCATCTATATATATTCTTTCAGTCAGCTTTGTTTTCTTAAGCCATTTTTCCCCTCCTTTTGTTAAATATTCTTTTGGGAGTCATACGTTCAGAATAAATGCCCATTTCGAGTCCCGACACACTAACAGCAATTCAATTGGAAAAGCAAGGTTCGTTCTAGGTCTACAGGGATGGAATTGAAGTTCCCAGTTCATAGTATCCCATCAATTTTTTTATTAAAAGGAGTGGGAGGAAACAAGATTTAAAAAAAAACGACGAAGAAAAGATAATGTTGGTATGAGGAGTTACACCAGGCAACCCTCCCAGCCCATCAGGCCACTGCAACAAGAGTCTTTTAGTACAGTGACACGTCTCAGAGAAGTCAGTGTCTCAAAAATTCAGAACATAGAAAACCACCAAAATAATTTTGAAACTAGATCCAAAATATTCCTTTGAAAAAAATTTATTTTGATGTACAAAAACAGTCATTTTTAGATTTTTTTGTTTTTAAAATATTTTTATAATAAAAGCTTTAAACACAAGTTTATTGTAGTACTCATTTGTCATTATCATTATTATTATTGATTCTCTTATCCCTCTTTTATTTTTTTAAATTTTATCTGTCAGTGCGATTGTATACCAGTGCAGCTACTGGGTCGAGAGTAAAGAAAACAGACTTTTTCATCTTTAATGGAGTAAAAAATAAGAAAAAAAAATCCATCTTTTATACAAAGTATAACTGCTGGTCTTTAGGAAAGAAAAGAAGAAACATTTATAAACCCATAAAGCTAGGAGGCACACCATGGGATTTTCATTTTTGAATATTATAGCAATAATAATAATAATACTAACAAAACAAGTAACAATTAGCAACCGTGTTGCCATCTTAATGCCGTAAATGGCATTAAAGACAGAATCAATGAAAATTCATTGAAAAACCAGGTTGCTTATAAGTACAGACAATTGAGAAAATCACACACACACACACACACACACCCACTCACACTCTTTCACACACACAAAAAGAACATTTTGTCAATAGCAGGGCTTGTTTTTGGAAGGACAGGAAGCCAGGCCTGTAGAGCAGCATTTGGGCATGGCCACTAGCATCTTTGGTTCAGTCAGACATACAAAGGTAACGTGAGCTCGAGCATTCCTCGAAATATCAGAATGATCACAGAGGGAATACAGAGGCTGAACTCTGACCCTGGTATGGAACCAAAACACGCAGTCTGCTACAACAATCTACCAATGTCGTTCCTAATGACTCGGCGAAGTATCGATTCATCAAGCTTGATATTTGGGGGGGGGGGGGGGGGGGGGTTCTGCATTTCGTATGTAAAACTCAAACCTATCAGATGCTTCATCGTGAGTTTAGTAGAGACCAAGACATCTCCAACAGGCAACTAAAAATTGGTGTTTTTTTAAGAAGTCAATTGATTCAAAACTTTAAAGAAAACCATCTTCTGTAAACTTTTTTCCAGTCTTTTTGGTGAGGCATTAACTACCATGACGACTACCAACTGCTAGTGAACGACACTCATCACAGCTGGACAAACTAGGCCATGAGGTTGGGCCACAGTGTAGGGAGCAATGGGGGCAGGAGGTTAACATGTGACTTCTTGTCCTTTCAAACCAGCACCATGTTGACTTGCACTGGTAGGAAAAAGGAAAAAAATAAAACACCTGTTGAAAAGATCTGCATATATCAAGGATTGTAAAAAGTAACATGTAGGATTTTCTCACAATACATCACCGTTAAAATGCGACGACGACCATCAACAGTACATTCCATAGCCCCTACAGCGTCCTTCTCCATCCCCTAACCACCGACACCAATGAAAGCAGAGCTTTGCAGAGGGGGAAGGGGCTACTGTTTGTCAAAAAGAGTCATCCTTCAGAATTAAAATGGGCCGTCATGATTCATTCACAGTAATGTACTCTAGAGAAAATCTTACATGTAGCATCATTAAGTATATGATATGATCAATGAGTCCGCATGACCAGTCACAAGTTGTGACCACCCCAATATGAGGTCCGATAGCACCATATTTGTCTTTTAAATCTCTTAATGGTTCATAAGTGTCTAAGCCATAGATCAAGCATATCATGGATAAAACCATAGGTCTCATACTCATACGTACATGCAACTTAACACGTTGCATGTATATACAAAGACATATGTAAAACAGCATGGTCAATTTGGTTTTGCAGCAGAAAAAAAATTCAGGTTGTGCTGTATTCAACGGACCAGGAAACGAGTGCCTGACTGTTCCTTTCTTGTAGTGATGGGTGCATTTTTTCCAAAGCTGTCATTGAGTTTAAACATAAAGGGTAACGCCATAGTGCCCACGTTTAATCTTGTTTTTAATAGATAATGATTATGTCAAATCTATACATAGGATATGGGCAAACGGGGGACAGCCGGTATACAGGATCCCCTGTGAGGCGATGAAAGCCTCGTTCAACACGAAGATGTCGTTTTCTGAAGCCCTTTCCTACAACGTGAGGCATTCAAGTAGAGCTGGGACGGAGCGAACCGAGAGAGAGGAGCACTCAGAGCATGTTCCACTGGTCTGTCATTTCATGAATCATTTAAGGCAACACAACTGAAATCTGGATTATTTCGGGTTACTGTGGATGGAGTGCCAAAAGCCCTTGACATTTTTGCATAAAGAAAAAAAAATTATAACCCGTCAGTTAGTAAAGGCTGTTACAACAAAGGGTGTTAGTCAAGTAACAAGAACCTCTCAAAAATTTCCAGTGAGCAACCTAATGAGCAGAACCTACGATGATCCTCATTGAACATTTTTCAGTGTGCCTCGGACTCACATCTGCGTATAATTAGATGGGAACTGGCTTTAGAAGTCCTTACAAGGCCCTGGCTTTATCAACCTCAACGCAGAGGCCCCATGCAAAGACTCGGCTCAAACAGAAATCAGCTGCTTTCTTTCTTTTTTCCTTTCCTAAACTGCCAGACAGCTGACAAAACAGACCACGGATCAAAACATTCCCTGTGCTGTAGACACACGGGTCAACGGGACCTAAGTGCGCACAAGAACGGAGGGGTGGTGGTGCAATTTCAACAACTAAGTCGACCCGCTGCACTACCGCAACATGCACTTCTACACGACACTGACATGTTAATAAGTTCACTTTTGTTGTGAGTCTTCATTCAAGAGGATTTCTTTTCCCCATTACATCATCATACTTTAGTGGGATGACTAGACAAGGGTTAGATGTGACCTGACAAAGGCAAGACGATGTTTCTAGAAAGTGAGAACACATGGCCTGAAGCTCGCTGCTGTACATTTGCATTCAGTGTCTCAAGGCCAGAGAATAGCAAACACATCAAGTCCAGTAATGGACGCCTCCAACAAGTGTGGAATAAAGATAATATGGCTTTAAATGTTTTTTGTTTTTCCTTGTAAAGCGACTCCCTGCCAGTAAACTCAAGCCAAACACAAATTTAAAAGAATTTTTTTTTTAGTCCCCTTGGAGACTTGTAGTCACACCCACTCCCCCTCTCAAATGTACTAAAACCAGCTATTTTTACACAAATTCCCCACAATTACTTTGATTTTCAAGGAAGAAAAAAACCCCACAGTTAAAGATTTCCAACACATCTCAGAGGGGGAGGAATCTGAAAACCCTTCAAATCAAATTTAATTTCTCATTTATTTTACTGGTTTTAATTTTCTGTCACCCACACACAGCAACACACAAACACACGATTGTGAGCTCGACCAATAAACACTGCCGGCAAAGGCCGGCGCAAAAAATGACGTCACAATCCTATCTACACTTGGGAGTACACACATCCCAATACATGGTTCCAACTACAGCACGAGAGTTCACAAGGCTAAAACAACCTGAACTATCAAGTTTTTGAGAGGAACTGAAGTAGAGGACACAGCCTTTGAGAACTGCAGTCGCCTTGCTACATGATATTCCATGTCAGGATTTTCAAAAAGAAAGAAGAAAAATAATTTTATTAGTAAATGTTAAGTTGTAGCAAAGCCTAGATGTTACGAATCCACACAAGCGAAACTTCCTTCCATCCACAGAATCAAAAACCTGATTAGGTTTGCTGTAAAGACACAATATTCATCAACTCTAATATTGGTTTAATTTTTCAAAAATTATGAATAAAGGGGGTTATAGATATAGGTATGCATATGCTGCAAAAGCTCAACCACAGGCAAACAAAAAGAAACACATGGATTTCTTGCCATAATCAATGTTTGCTTCGTTGCCACCCGTTGCCATGTCAACGTCTGGGAGACGGCCAGCACGGCAACGGAAACTATCATCATAAAATGGTACAGTAGTAGAAATAGCTAGACCAAGAGGGGGCGGGCTCTCCTGGGAAAAGGTCCGCGGAGAGGTCCAGTGATTGGTCATGCGGCTCGCTGTCAGGAATAATGATTATAAGACGGCACTGGGTGACCAATGCCATTCTGGTAGTGATGGTGCTGGCGGAGGGCGATGTACTCTGCATAAGCCATCGTCATCTTTTCGCTACGGTACCTAGGGTGGAGAAAACAGGTGGCAGTTATGGGAAACGTGTCAGTTCAGCTGTGATCAGTCTCAATCTGTGGTTAGCTGGCTCATTTAAAACATGTAATGTCTTGAAAGAATCGGAATCGATAGGAACCAGAATCGAAACGAGGAACTGGAATCGGAATCATTCAAAATCAAACCATGCCCAACACTAATGGTCACCAAAACAGACACAGAACATAATATACTTAAATATTTCTGACAAAATACACCAACTAAAACCTGACATCCTTTTGAATTGAGGTTCAGCACATGGAAAAAAATGATGGTACACTGAACTTAATATTTATTAGCTCAATCTTTTAATCAAACTACTGTGAGAGATGATGCCAATGTCCCTGATGGTCCTAAACTTCTGTCCAACAGTAGTCTAGGGACCATCATGCTTGGAGATGGTCATATTCTTTACCATGTTGGTCAATAAAAGGTCCATGTTCAGTGTGGTATTGAACCTCGTCCACAACAGCACTGTGACTACTTTTCAGCATCCACTTTTCCACTTTTGATGTCCACTACAGCAAAAAGCTTAGTTCAACATGTCCCTAGGGTCATGTTCTACCAACACCGGTTCTATTTTATGATTATTCAAAAGAAACAAAATGAGACCAACAACCTTGCACACTTCTGGACATGGATTACAGGGGTTTATATTTTAGATTTGAAGCTTCAGGTTAGAAACATTAATCTAGGTTAAACTATGGAAACAGCACTGATGCCTTTATGTACCACGACCAAACAAATCTAATTATTCCTTGTGAATTTACCGGTCTTCCTAAAGTCATTTGTTACGGAAGCTTTGTAACCTTCCTTTCCACATTAGTGTGATGGTGGGATGATGGATTGAGAAAACCAAATTGAATTTAGACTGCAACGCAGATTATGACTTTAAAACAACAAAGGAAAAGTCAGAGGAACATCAAGCTGCTTGGAGATGGTCTTCCAGTCTTTACCTTAAACATGCTGACCAATAATTGACCTTCTAATCTCTTGGCTCTCTCCTCGGGTTATGGTCTATGTTCAGTGTGGTACCAAACAGCACTGTGACCATCAGGTTAAAACTACGGAAACGGCACCGATCCCTTCATGCATCACCATGGTCGAACAAACCTAATTATACCTGGTTAATTTAATGGTCTTCCTGAAGTCATTTGTGATGAGAGCTTTGTACCCTCCCTTTCGTAGTAAGGAATCTATGGTTTGAATGTGGTCCCAACCTAGGGGTAAAAAGGAGAAACGCACAGCTTTAAATATGTGATTAAAAGAAATGTCTCAGAAGAACAAAACGCTCCTCACCTTGCTCCTTTGCAACCTCTGGCAGGTAGGTGGCGGTGCGTTTTGATCCTTTTTCACTGAAAAACTCTATCCTTATACCATGAATACCCACCTAGAATCAGCAAAAAGAAGTTAAATCACGACAGTTGATAATTGTGAACGATTTACGTTGAAAACAGCTGCAAATGTAGAGGGTTTTAAAAAGAACACTTTGTTTTATGCTGCCTTTACCTCCCAGTCAAGGTAATCCCCGACATCTTCAAAGTTGGTGAGAAGAGACACTGAGCAGAAGAGGCGAGGCAGCTCATCCCTTGTCATAGGGGGGAAGCGGCTGTCTTTAAGGGCACTGCAGACAGGAAAGCCCACGGACAATCAGCATTACTGGACAGATAAAAGTCATCGAGTCTTAAAAGGTCTAATGGTTCACTCATTAATACATCACACTCAAAAGGCTCCCGCTGATGGGCACTAAAACAGTGATAAATAATGCAGCACAGACCACTAAAATCAGTAAAAGTTTAACCTCTCAGTTTAAAAAAAGCCAAATAACATTCAGTTTTCTGGGAATAAAAATGCTTTAAAGTGTCAGTGTGTATTTTTCCTGGTGGCAGCATTTTGAATCGCCTTCATTCTGACAGAACAAAGATCTGGTGATTCAATTTAGTTTATTTATATAGCACCAAATCACGACACAAGTCGTCTCAAGACACTTCACAAAGTTAACGTTCCAATACAGGTCAGTTCATTAAGACAATCAGTAACAAGTTTCCTATATAAGGAACCCAGCAGATTGCATCCAGTCACTGTCAGTGTCTTTACAGCAGTCCTCATAATAATATTGGATGTGTCTTGGAAGTGTGTGACCTGAGTTTTCCAGTTAAATCGAGTTATAAATATTGTGAATATTGTCTGACTTTTAATATCACAAAACACAGAACAGTCTCCCCCATTTATCCTATCTTCAGATTCTTGTCAACACACAATCCCTAGGGTGGGGGATGGCTCAATGCACCAAATGTAAGTGCAAAATTCTTAAAATGAATGGATTTCTAGTCATTTTTGTGTTTGCTAATATTAATTAGGTGTGGTGGCCAGAAATTCCAGTGTAACTTAAATTAGTTCTATTGACTACTAGAAACTATGATGTCATAGCAAACACAAACAAAACATCCACTTACAGAGATCCTATCGTTATCTGCTTCGCACACTGCCAAGTGTGTTTAACATGACCCTGATAGGACTGCAGACCCTCCTTATAGATGCGGTGAGACAGTGGGGGCCTCAAATGGTAAAGCACTCCAAAAAACTCCCAGGCCTGTAATTTTCAATCGCTTACTAGGCCATTCTTTTCTTTAGTGGCCATAGAACCAGCATTTGGATGGTGTCTGGAGTTATTTTGGATGATGTGTGTGCCATGCCAGTCAGCAGTAAGAGCTACTCTGAAGTGACAGGCTCTAGTCTGCACCCAGGCAGCCATGTGCACCGCTAATCCAATGACTACCTGATCTGCGCTTCATCTGTGGGTAGGATCGTGGTGGAGGCTGTAAAATGCGACACCGCCTAAGAAATAGGCATGGTATTAAGCTCATGGCCGTCTGCTTGACTGCAAAAATTGAGAAGAACTTATTAAATAAATTAGAGACAACAAATGATTTCTACAGCAGACTCAATCTCTGTAGGCAATTTTTGTGTACATATTTACTTTTCTGCATGTTTCAATTAAAGTTAAAGACGATATGCTGCTAACAAAAGGATAGCAGATACGTTAGTGGCCTGAATCATGACTGTCCAGTGGCAAATGATGTACAATAAATGTTTTGCACTTTTGAACATTTTGTTGTGAAAATTCTTGTTTCCAACTTACAGAAAATACAAATAAATAAATAAATAAATAAAATAGCTATTCCCAGAAAACAAATCGGATTTTTAAAAACTGAATTATCCAAACCTGTAAAACTACAGATTTCAGGTTCTTCCAAGTCTGTGTCCAACTGAGATGAAGTAATCCTAAGGGAGGTAAGCTCAGGGCTCTGTAGGGACCAACAACCGTTTCTAATAAGCCAAACCAAAAACTCAAAGTGAAACTAAACAAAAAGAGCACCTAGTGGGTGGTTCCAGTTTTAACTGTAAATCCTTATTGGTTTCTTAAAAATAATCCACTGCAGTCATTGTTCTAGGGCTGGGCAATAAATCAAAAATGTATCGTTATCAAAATTTCTGACTCTCATCGTGATCATTTTTCCCATGTCAATAAATTTGATGATAAAAAAATGAAAAGATGCGTGTAGCTTGGCAACATTCATGTCCCTTTAAGAAGCTGGACCACCTTGAGTCACGTAAAAATGTGACTCACCCCGGATTCACACTGCAAACATCAGCGGAACGGAACAGCAGCGGAGCGGCTCACTCGCGAACTTCAAAGCGGTCCTTTTCACACCGGGAGAGCCTTGGCCGCGGCACGGCTTCCTCGCCGCGCCTCGCTGTACTCGCGAGATTCTAAATCCCTCGAGACTTCCGACACCTTCCTCGCAAGACAACGAATTGCCTCGATATTTCCACCATCCTTCCTCATCAAGAGATCACAACCGCCGGGAGGAATCACACCGTTGCACTTCTTGAAAGAAACAGTTGGTAAAGAAAGCCGTTCGGTCAAACGTGCTGACATAAGTTATATATAACTTTGCAACGATACATTTTATTTTGAAAATAACCGGGGATTTTACACTGAAACAGTGTGTGGTTTCCTGTCTCGCACTATGTGAACTGCGGAAATTGACGTGTCCCAAAAGTGGCTCGCGGGAAAAATAGAACTCGATCCTATCTTTAGCGACGCGGCATGCCGCTTCTGGGACGCGCCTGAAAATTACCGTGTAGCGGCTGGTTTGAAACACTCCATAGACTATAATTAGATTCTATTTGAAGCAGTGCCGCTTCGCTGCCGTTCCGTTCTGTTGATGCTCGCAGTGTGAAACCGGGGTCAAGGTGGTACCTGACAGCCCCATCTAGTGGACAACTTTTGTTTCTGCGCATACCTGTAGTTATCGTTGATTTATCGTTATCGAGTTGAAATCCTCAATATATCGTGATATTAATTTTAGACCATATCACCCAGTCCCACATTTTCCCCACCTAAATCATTTAAAAGCGCAAATTTAGTAATTTAATCTGAATTGACGTGCTCCACCACAACAAACAGACAGGATTTCATCATTTATATTAATTACATTCAATTAAGCTACAAAAAATTTAAAATAAAATAAGTTAAAGGACAAAATAAGGATTGAAACACTACACTGTCACACCATTGTGTTGGTTAGGGTTGGAATATAATATCAGGGTTTCCCCCGATGCTTCATAAGCCTGTCGGGTAGAGCACAGTACCAAAGAGACCTGCGCGACCACCACAAAAAATATCATCCATGAGAATTGTTTCTTACCTGGTAAGGGTGTACTCCCTGAGTCCTGAGTGCAGATGCATGGCAGAAAATGTACCTATACAACCCCTCAACCGCTTGTCTCTGCCTATTTTCCATGTGACAAACAGCGGACTGAAAAACAAGCAAAAACAGACAATTTTAAAGTAACTGGACTCAAACTTTCACATCACATGAACTTTTCTGTGGTGCACAAACAGTGCTAACAGCACACACTGCGTTTTTTCAGTCCTCATTCATGATGGATCAAATTTCATCAAAGACTTTTAGGCATCATTTTAAGCCATCTGCATTAGCAGCTATTTTCCCCTGTTTGACATCAATTTTCCACCCTTTCATGTAGGATCTGGGATTTTCCAGCTTGTACAGAGAGGGAAATCAGCCCAGTGACTAACAGATGGAAACCACATGTCTGATGTACATGCTAAGGAGTGAATAACAATAAATAGTCATATTAAACGCCGCATAACTGGAGAGAACGATAGCAGATGTTGGATTTTGTTTCTAAGGGAATTAGAGCCAGAATTACACAAAGCCTGTCAAGTATCTTCATTTCTTAACAAATCATCTTTCTTTCTTAATCTCCTATGAGCAAATCCTGAAATTTGCATAACTGTTTAAAAAATAAACTATATTCCAAAAATAAAAGTTGCATTGGGGCAGCAGTAGCTCAGGTGGTAGAGCGGGTTGCCTCATGATCGGAGGGTCATGGGCTTGATTCCAGCTCCCGCCAGGGGTATCCTGCTGTTGTGTCCTTGGGCAAGACACTTCACCCAACTTGCCTGTGTTAGTGGTGGTCAGAGGGGCCGACGGCGCCAAATGGCAGCCTTGCCTCTGTCAGACCTCCCCAGGGCGGCTGTGGCTACAAGTAGCTTACTATCACTAGCAGTGTGTGAATGTGAGTGTGTGTGAAAGCGTCTTTGGGGGTCTTGAAAAGCGCTATATAAGTTCAATGCATTATTATTATCATTATTATTAAAGTGGAAGATTGCTTTTTTTTTTGCCTTATATGAACAAAAAAGTGTTGTTTCTCTAGAGTTGGGTGTTTTATCAGGAGCGCAGATGCTTTTAAACAAAATCCTACGGAAAAATACTACTGGGTGCCATACCATAAAGCATCTGTGTGGTCAGAATTCGGGGAAAAGAATTGAGGCATATTTTCCAAACCCCCTCTTTAAGATAAACCAGGAAGTGTTGGCTTGCTTTTAGCACCCCCAGTGTCCATTTTTAGAATCTCTTCACTGTGCGTTCGTCTTTTTAACACCTTAATCTAACAGCTGGAAGTTCTCTCCAGCCTTCATTTGTGTCTACAGGAGTGATTCATCACTAAATTAAACAAATCAGCTGTGCTCCGGTCGAAAACATCCTGGAAATGTGCTGGAAGCAGACTGCAGCAACAGTCCCAACACAGCAAACCGGCAACTCTGAAGTTACAGGTGGAATATTACATAGGGCTGGCGATGGGGGCTTGGTGGGTTTTCATTTATCCTGTTAAGAGTCATTTTAGCACATAGTGGCTCAAGAAGATGATTTAAAAATATGAAAGCGTTGCAAAATATCGCCTCTGTTAGTTCGCCCCAGGGCAGCTATAGCTACATCGTAGCTCATCACCATCAGTGTGTGAATGTGTGTGTGTGAATGGATGAATGATACACTGTAGTGTAAAGCGCTTTGGAGTCCTTACTCTGAGACGCGCTATACAAGTGCGGGTCATTTATCATTTAAGATGACTGTATTTTGCTTCTGTTCTGACATTATTCCCACTTTTCCCCATCACTGCTCTTTACTGCTTCAAATTTAATAAATGTTTAATAAAATTACAAACATGCCCTTAAATCCTTCTTTAACATCTAACTGATGTGCTGCATCGCTACAAAACATACTTGGGTGAGCTAACTAAATTAGCGGAGTACTCATGTAAAAAAAACACAGCAATGTTTGCTGCCAACTGTGTTCATACCATTACATTCGGAAACAGATTTTAAAATAATAATAATAATTATATGTATAGAGACTTTTGCTTTAATTAAAGCTGTTGCTGTTGTCTCGCACCAAGATTGGTGGCAACGCTGCAACATTCCGAGGCTTTGCGCACTAACGCTCCAGAGTACTATGACCAATGTTGAGAGTTGCTTTCAGCATTTCAATAATTCAGCCTGACAGGTCCCTCAAGTGAAGGACACGTCGAGGACACATCAGACCACAAACACTGGTTTTTCAAAGCTGCTGGAGCTTTCACATCTGACACGCTTTAACTTCCTACACGTCTAAAGACTAATCGCTCTCTGGGTTAATGAACTCATTCACCTTCCCTTTTACTGCATGAAGGCAACACTTAACTGATCACAAACCTGCCAAGTTTTCACAAGGTTTTGCAAAATACCTTGTTCTGGAAGTCACTGCAGCCTCGCATTAATCCCTGTTAGCACAGATGCTGTTATAAAACAGTTGGGAGGGCTTAAAGCTTAGTGTGGAAAATGGAGGATGGACATTCAAGCCAGGGAACACTCGAAAACACAGATTTCTTTTTATCCGACTTTATCAGGTCTGGTCAAGTTTTTAGTTTGTTTGTTTTGAAACAGAAGAGGCTGAAAACCAGTAACTGAGCAAGAAAATCATTAAAAACTAGGAGCAAAAGAAATCCAGAATAGATAATTGAATTTACCAATTAAAACAATTTACGTTTGAGTAATCAGTTGTATTAAATACCAGCAGAGAAAAGAGAAACACTAGGCTGGATGTACTTTAGCAGCTAATGTTCAAAAGGAACAAAGTTTGATTTTTGGGAAACATTAACAATTTAAAGGCATCAAACTAAAACAAGAAAAATCTCATCACCAAACCATTCTATCGTGCACCCTTTAATAAAAAACAAAAAAACTAATAACTTCTGTAGGAAAATGCTCCTGCAGATGCATGTATTTAATGATAAAGTGACAAGAAATTATCATTTTCATCTTGTGAACGTGGTTTTTAATTAGTTCTTGCGGAATGTGAACTTGCACAACACACAAGATCACCCGTTTTGCATAATACAGAAAGTGCTTTCCATGTAAATAGTATTCTCCTTTAATTCCTGTAAAAAGTTTACTCTTAGAAACGTGTTTCTTTATTTAGACTTTCGAATTTAAAAAAGGAGCCAATCAATCAAGGTTGCAAAAAAAAGGTTTAAAAGCTTCTAAATGTGAGTAATGGACCTTTCAGGCACATACGATCACATTACTGTAAGGTGGGGTTTCCGTGGAGGGCAATGGGTGTGCGGTTCCTCCCAAAATATATACGTTTATTGATCTGACGGTAACTTTAACCGTGTCAGAAACATATCAGTTTTATATGATTAAATGGCCAGACATAGCCGGCTTTGTGCTTGCTTTATTTACCTACCGGTGCCACTAGTCCCTCTTTAACACCGGTTAGATAAGGCAGAGCTTAGAACTGCTAAGCACTTAGCAATTAGCATATTTTCTTTGTTGGTCGATGATAAACTCCGTTAGTTTGTATTAATTCCACGGCAAAACTCACCAACACTGGGTGAAATTAGTAAAAATTAAGTGATACAATTGAACTTTGATGTTGTCATGATATCATTAAGACACTGAACGACTCTATAAATAAACAAAATTCACACTAGTTCGATGCTAGGCTAATACAGCTTACAGCTAACAAAGCTAAGCCTAGTATGTAGAAATCCATGGTTCGTTTAGGGTGATTTACGATCACAAACAACGAAAGTCAACTTTTGCTGTTTAGCTCATACATTCTACATACGAACAGTGTTCTATAGCATTGCATAAAAGCGATGTTATATTATTTCCGTCCTCTTTTCGTTTTAATTTCAGTTGCTAGCGGATATTAGCTAACACTAGTAGCAAACACCGTTAGCTAGGTTTATACCTTAGCCACAGTTTTGCGAGTTAGGACGTCAGTACCATGAATTTATTAATTTATTTCCAAAACTGACGCGTAAAAGAACATAAACTGACCGTATACATCGACATTCATTGACAAAAAACAGTTTTATGTCAGGATCATCTAACATTCAGTGGAGCGTTTTTGTATGGGTTAAGCTGACGTGTTGTGTCAGAAAAGGTACCCCTGTGTGTTCCAACACGTTTTCATAGAGGAAGCTCATGTTGATATATATATTTTAAAAAATATATGTAAAAATCCAAAGTTTACAAGAGTACAAGATCGTCCTCATCAGCTACAGCTATATAAAAAGTATTTATGTTGACATGAAGGCTGCACAGGGTGATTTTCAGACAGGAAACGCTATCAGGAAAAATAGTTTACTGGAAAACAATACCTAAATGTTTTTACATATGAAATAAATATTTGTGCCCTTGACTGCTCCGAAAACCACAAATTTGTACTTTTGATCAATGAAAGTGGCTTAAAATTAGCTTCTTGTGACAATGACTCTTCGCGGTAGGGGTGCTTATTTCGACAAAACACCGGTCTGAGTGCGGTTTCCTCGACTAGGCCCGAGTTCCAAATTGGGCAAAATAGGCTACATTCAGCGAACCCTTTCGAGTAGAATTTGCGAAGACTGACTGTAGTTTCGGTGTGACAATTCATTTTCTGAACCGTGAAGAAAACTTCCAAGGCTAAACTCAACAAGTTCTGTGAAGACAACCTTTGTTAAGACATAACAATGCCATTTTTTCCACACAAAAAAGCAGACAACGACAAAAGTACTTACAAGGGATCATTTGTAAACCTGGGTGTTCTCGGAGGTTGGTATCCATACAGATGGCAATAAAGCACGTCAAAACAGAAGCAGCACATCTCCGCGGAGACAACCATTTTTCTGCCACCACTTCCCGAACCAGGTCCCGGGCTGATGTTCGGGGAGAGGCCAGATGTAGTATAACCGGCCGGGACTGGTGACAGAGCGTTGGTGCCACTGCTGCTACCACTACTGCCGCCGCTAACGTTACCCCCGGGTCCCCCCAGGCCGTTGACTCGGCTCACGTTTGCCGCAGCTGCAACAGCCGCGGAGGAGCCAATCCCCAACTCCGAGCCACAATGTCCGGTTCCTGCCACCCCGCTTCCCACCCCCACTCCGCCGGGACCCCCCGACCCGGGAGATCCCGACAGTTTCTGCTTCTTCACCCCGCAGCACCCGGCCGCCATCTTGGAACAATCTGCACCGACACACCGCTTCCGACCCATAACCGTCACCGCAGGAAGGGTGGGGGGAGACGCCGACCAGACGTAGAAATCCCACTGCGTTGCTACGTACGACGGACAATACTTCACTTTCCCTCTTTTTGTTTTTTATTTATTTATTTTTTGTCAGACGAAGAAAAAATCGACGTGGTGAGAATGCAATGTCACCCTATCGTTGCCTGTGAAAATGCGTGACTCACGCAAAATACATAGGCTATCGGGACAAGCGTTTGTCCCTTCAGTAGTCAGACAGTCGAGAGACGGTGTTCCAGTGGCCACCCCTTCTCTCTAACACCATCCAAAGCGATCTCGGTCAGTTCCCCTTAAACATGCAAGTTTAGGGAGTATCCGGTGTAAGCAGGCCGCAAATGACAGTAGCCAGGCGGTCCAGATGTGAAGCCGAACGCCAGTGCCTCTCCAAGTGGAAGCCGGGAGCTTGCGTATGCAGGACCCATCAGCTTCAGCACAATCTGCGCACAGTGTCTTGGGCAACGTAGCTTCTCATTGCACCAGCTTGTCTGCTACTGCCATATAAACTTCTAATTATACAACAGGCCCAGAATGTAGAGATCCCAGACGCCGGGGTAACGCAGAGGAAAATGGCATCTGACAATGCGGGGTTGGCATGGCACAATAAAAACGCGTCAGCGCCGAACAAGTAATTTCAGTACCGTTAGCCCAGTCTGCACCTGCATCATGACTGCACTTAAACCTGGTTATAAATCTCAATACCACCCCCGCGTCAAACGGAGAGCTGAAAGTTTTCAGCACGGGTTTGTTGGGAGGCTGTCATCCGCTCATGTAGACAGACAGAAGAGCGTTCTAGTCCGTGGACCGTGTGAAATCCGCTGGGTCTGGCAACCCTTCCTCCGCCGCTGCCTGTCAGCTGCTACAGTTCTGTGCTGGTCGGGTAAAAGCCCCTACGATCAGGCAGTGGACACAGGCATCGGTGCTGTCGGCACGCCGGAACCGGATTCAGGAAATGTTCTGCGCCCGGTTGCTACCGTAGACTTTTTTTTTTTTTTTTTTTTTTTTTTTTTTAGAAAAGGTAACATACAAACAAAATGCACCTTACATTATATATTCAAAAGATAATCATTACATGCATATTCAACATTTTCATGTATATGAAAGAGAAAACAATAGAAAACGAAAATCTAAAGCTGGGGTCATCTAATTAATAGATTATTAACTTACTAACTCAAAATCTTCTACAAAGGAAATAAACAAACCAGCCTTTTTCTTTTTAACTAAATTCAAAGATTTAACTAATAATTTTAAGTCATTTTTCCAATAGGCTAGTGTTGGTTTGGTCTTAAAAAATCGACATTTATGTATAAACTGTTTACACAAAATTAATAACACATTAACACCATAACTAACTTTCTTTTCTTTCAAAAACACTCCAAACATTATCATATTTAAGGTAAATGGGGAAATTTGAATCCCACTAGAACAAAGCCAGGCATGAAAATCTAACCAAAATATTTGTATAAAATTGCACAAAAAAAATAGATGGTCTAAGTCCTCCTCTTCTGTTTCACAAAATACACAATTACCAGCTTCTATATTGAATCTATCCCCAAGGAGTCTATTGGTTGGGTAAATTTTATTCAAAATTTTAAATTGGACTTCTTTCCCCTTAGGAGCGATAGGGAAGGTGATATAATCACTTCTTATTTTTTCAATTTCTTCCCTTTGGAAATCTTTTAATATGTAATTACGTCTAAGTAAGTTTGGATAGAAGAGATTCCTTAATGAAGATCTTAGAAACTTATTATTGCATTTATCATCACAAAATCGAATATCTTCTATAAATAATTGTCTTAACCTGGGGGAGATGCCAGAATATATTATATCATTTACAACTAAATGATTGTTCTTGAGTGACAGTGGAAATGATCTTATAACCCGATTAAATTTATTTTTAGAACATTGGATATTAAACTTTTGACAAAAATCTTGATGTTCTAGAACATGTCCTTCATTATCTAAAAAATGGGCAATTGCCCAAACACCTTTGGAAAGCCAATCTTGGATAAAAATAGATTTTCTGTTCATTAGGATATATCTATTGTTCCAAATTGGGCTATTATGTGGAGTGAAGTTATGTTTAAATAACATTTTCCAATAAAGAAGGACCTGTTTATGAAATGCAGAGAGTTTAATAGGTAGCCTAGTAATTTCAAAGTCACATTTTAGAAGAAAATCGATACCTCCCAGTTTGTTAAAGACCTTACTTGGTATAGAAAACCAGATGGAGTGTGGATTATTTAGGAAGGATTTTAACCATTTCACTTTCAAAACACCATTCATTACATCAAAGTCAATTGTGTTTCCCCCACCTTCAATGTATGGTTTAACCAAATCATCTTTAGATATATAATGGCATTTATTTCTCCAAATAAAGTTAAAATTTAAGCTATTAATTGTTTTAATGATTTTATTTGATATTGATAAAGAGTAAGCTGGATATATAAATCTAGATAAACTATCCATTTTGGTTAATAATATTCTTCCAAAAATTGTGATGTCTCTTTGTAACCAGTTATTTAAGATTGTCTTACATTTGTCAACATTATCTGAAATATTTACTTTTTCCACCACTTTGTGATGTTTTGAAATTGTGATGCCCAGATATTTTACTTCCTTTTTCACCTGTATATCGTACAAAAACTGTGCCTGACATTCCTTTAACGCCAATAGTTCACATTTATTTAAATTTAATTTTAAGCCTGAAGCTTTTGAGAATGTAGTTATTATTTGTTTTACTAGGGGAATTTGATGTTCATTTTTTAAGAAAAGAGTAGTGTCATCTGCAAGTTGACTAATTATTAACGAATTATCTATAATCTCAATTCCGGCCACATTGCTATTTTTAATTAAAATTGCGACCATCTCCACAACCATTATGAATAACAGCGGAGAGCTTCCACATCCTTGTCTAATTCCTCTTTTAATGCTAAATCTTTTACCAGTGCCATGGCCTAACGACACAGAGCTATTTATATCATTATATAGTATATCTATTATCTTCCTAAATTTATTCCCAAATCCAAATGGAGTTTGTGTTTCTAAAATAAAAGGATGTTCTACTGAATCGAAAGCTTTATAAAAGTCCAAGAAAAGAATAAAACTGTCATCACTAATTAGATCATTGTAGTCCAGTAAGTCTAAAACCAATCTGATATTATTATGAATGTTCCTGTCTTTCAAAAACCCTGATTGTGTCTCACTAATTATACTTGAAACCCCTTGTTTAAGCCTTGTTGCAATTGAGCTAGAGAAAATTTTATAATCTGTATTTAGTAAAGTTATAGGCCTTAAGTTATCCAATTGTCGCTTATCTTTGGTTGGTTTAGGAATTAATGTAATTAATCCTTGTTTCATGCTAGGCATCAATTCTCCCTTTTCAATACTGGCCAGTATAGCTTTGAATAAGATTTCCCTTAAGTCTTCCCAAAAAAATTGGAAGAAATTAACTGTAAGCCCATCTGGACCAGGTGATTTATTAAGCGCCATTTTCTTAATCGATGCATCTAATTCTTCAATTTTAAGGTCAGATTCACAAATTTCCTTAAATGATTCATTAATTTGGGGGATCAGATTATCTATTTGATCAAAAAAGGCATCACAGTCTGCTTGAGAGAACTGTGAGGAGTATAAATTAGAATAGAATGTATAAGTTTCGTTTTCCAAGATTTTAGGGTCGTCACATTCAATACCATCAATTAACAGGGAAGATATAAGATTTTTTTTCTGTCTGCTCTTTTCTAAATTAAAAAAATATGAGGAATTTTTTCCCCCTCCTCTATCCATTTAGCGCGTGAACGCACAAAAGCTCCTTCTGCTTTATTTAAGTAGAGCTGATCTAATTTAGTTTGCAACTCCATAAGTTTACTCTTTTCTTGGCTATCTAGATCATCCTTACTACAGTAATAAGTAATTTCTTGGAATAATTTACATTCATATTCTCTTTGCTTTCGACTTATGTTTTTACTGAATTGAATAGTAAATTCTCTAATCTTGAATTTAATGAATTGCCATTTACTGATATATCCTACAATTAAACGGTCAGCCATAATATCTTTTATAATTTTTTTGACTATGTTGCAGTAATCTTCATTTTGTAAAAGTTTGGCATTGAACTTCCAATAAGTTCTTTAATTTGATTGTCTAATTTCCGATTTTAAGCATAGTTCAATAAAGCAATGATCAGAAAGAGGTGCATTTGACATGACAGCATTTACAGTGTGGTTAAGAATGTTGCCACTTCCTAGCCAATAGTCTATTCTAGATTTACAAGTTCCATTTGGCTTAAACCAGGAAAAACTTTTCATTTCCGGATTTCTTACTCTCCAGATATCTGTCAAATTGTTGTTTATCAAAAATTCTATAATTAGGTTATTTCTTTGTGGTCTACCTGTCCTTGAGGGCCATCTATCAGTCCATTCATCAGGGGTCATATTCCAATCACTACCCATTAAAATATATTCCGTAAGGTATCGATCTTTAAGTTCGGAAATATTTAAAGTTATATCTTCTAACATATTTTTATTCTGACTTTCATTGTTATATCCGTAAACATTGACTAAAATGAAAAACAAACTTTCAACTCTCATTACAGCGATCAACCAATGACCATTCAAGTCAGTTCGTTGTATTACAAGATCCCCAGGAAAGTTATTGAATAAAATTGCTACACCCCCCGACCTTGTTGAGCCATGGCTAAACAAGATTTTGCTGCCCCATTGGTTTGACCAAAAAGATACATCACTATCAGATGAATGAGTCTCTTGTAGGAATATGCAGTTTGATTTTTTACCTTTGCAGTACAAAAATAAGGCTTTTCTTTTAACAGATTATTTAAACCCCTAACATTTAAAGAACCAAAACAAATGTTAACATTCAACATGAACTATAGATAGAATATCGCTCACCACGTGAAAAGATGAGAAAGAAGAAAAAATACTAAATGCTGAGCTCCTCAGACCGCTAACAAG